GAGGGCCAGATACTCTCGGTAGCTTGCCGGGCTCTCTGAGAGGGGCGGAGGAATCGAACCTGGGTCACCCAAGTCAGCTGTATGTAAGGCAAACGCCCTCAAATGTTATTTTACAAAAATTGATATCACATTTAGGTATGATGTTAGAAAATGTTTTTTTCCTATCTGGTGATAGCCCTTTCAGTAATAGGCCTCTTCATGCTTCTTGTATAATGCATCTTGGGGGTGTCCTGTAATTGAATGAAGTGAACAGGGCTTCAAGATTGCTTCCTACGGCTATGAATAAGAATGAGAAAATCCATAAACAAGTGGGTTGGGAGACTATCAAAAGTGAGGGCATCTTTTTGGCCCCCCTTTAAGCCTGTGAAGGAGTGGCTCTGAGATCACCCAGGCTACCTCACTTCTGCCTTTACTTTTTCTAAAAAACAGGAGGACCTTGAATCCCGGCTTCCTACTGGGCTAATATCTGGCATCCCCAGTGGTTGTCCACCTCACTGGCTATTTCTTGTAACTATTTCTTGTGCCTAATTTCTCTCCTGGAACTCCATGCTATGGGCTCTGATGTCCCTGCTGAATCTTCACTGATAAGACAAAGTGACGAATACCAACCCCCAGAGTTCCTCTGAAAAACTAGTTTTTCAAACCAGTTGTGATGCATTTCAAAGCCAAAATACTTAAATTACGAGGCTGCATCCAAATGATCTTCCAAACAATTATCATCTGCATTATGGCACTGATTTATGACTGTTATTGCTTGTTTCTTGAAATAGCTTATGAGACCCATTGAGAGCAGGGATTTATGCTATTCTTTTTTTTCTTTTTCCTTTTATGGGTCACACCCAGTGGTACTTCTGATGCTGCACTCAGGAATCACTTGAAGGACTATATCAGATGCTGAGGATTGAACCAGGGTCAGACATATGCAAGGCAAGAGGCCTCCCTGTTGTACTAATCCCTAACCCAAATAAGCTATTCATTTTCTTTTTTCTTTCTTTCTTTTTTTTTTTGTTTTTTTTGGGTCACACCCAGTGATACTCAGGGATTACTCCTGGCTCTGCACTCAGGAATTACTCCTGGTGGTGCTTGGGGGACTGTATGGGATGCTGGGGATCGAACCCAGTTCGGCAGCGTGCAAGGCAAATACCCTACCCTCTGTACTATTACTTTGGCACAAGCTATTCATTTTTTGTCTCCGCACACTAACCACTTTGTTTGGAATACTGTGTTTTTAAAAATTTTCAGAATTGGGGCCAGAGTGATATAGCTGGAAGGGCTTTTGCCTTGCACACGGCCGACCCTGGTTCAATCCTTGGTATCCCATATGGTCTTCCTGTGCATTGCCAGGAGTAATTCGAGTGCAGAGCCAGGAGTAACCCCTGAACACTGGCGGGTGTGACTCTAAAAAAAAATTAGAATAAATAAATATTAAACACTACCACTTACAGAGTGACTAATTCCTTTCAGTAACCTTGCTAGGGTCTTATACATATTTTTAAAATGCAATATTCATAAAAATCTTGTAAGGTAAGCACAAATGTTTTCGTATCATAGATAAAGAAAGAAATCGGCTCAAAGAGTTAAACTTAAAACTTACAATTAAGCTAGGTTTAAATGTAAGCCAACCCGACTGCAAAGTGACATTTTTGCTTGTTTTTGTTTGTTTTAATTTGGAGGCCACATCTGGCTGTGCTCAGGGCTGACTCCTGATTCTGTGCTTAGGGATCACTCCTGACAGGGCTCAGAGGCTATCAAACTCAGGACAGGTGAGTGCAAGACAAGCTCCTTAAGATCTCTGTAATTTAATTTTGATAAAACTTAGCTGCCTACATCTATTAATGTGCATGAGAAAATTGTTAGTAAAATGAGCTAGGAAATTATGTAAAATTTTGTTTTCAGCTCTTCAGGAAACTTTACAAACAGATAAACTCTGATCTCTATAAGTAAAAGAAGATCAAATGTTTACTTTCCTTTGTTACATAATAAATCATGTTTTGGTAGCCAAACTATGCCATGAAGACAAAAAAAGAAGAAGAAGAAGGGATTATAATGTAAAGAAATAAAACAGCTTAAATTACTAGTGCAGAAACACCAACTGTTCTTATAATTAAAACTGATGATTGTCACAACTAGTTCTCCTAAAGACACAAATTTGGGATTCTGCTTTATGGTTCCATGTCTTGGTCTTGGTCTATATCCAGAGTTACACAAGAGATTATCAAAAGTAGCAGGAAGAATATTTTTGTTGCTAGCTTGCTGATGAAGGTTTCTGTCTGTGTTTCTATGTTTTTTTTTTTCTTTTCTCTGCATGTGAAAATGCCATATAATGAATATTCTGAAGTCAGAGAAGTTTCTTTTCTAGTTTTGCTTTGACTTAGGTGATATGTGCCTCCCTCTGAACATAGGAAATTAACAAATACTTATGGCTTATTTGCAGAAACCAATGTCTTAATTTTGGTTTCTGATAAAATAAAATAAAACAGGAATAAAATAAAACAGGAACAAGAGAATTTGGAAGGCATTATACAAAAAGTCATTGTTGATTCTACATGTGTTTCATTGGCACTTGCTGGCTCAGCTGGGCATTGGTTGAAATGATCTCAGTGGAATTATCCTAGGAATGCAACACAGACTGATCTCTTCTTGCAAAGATAGGAGCCATTTGGCAAGTCTGGAAATACAAATTTTCACAAGTTTTTATTTTTTATTTATTTATATTTTTGCTGGTGTGACCCCCCTCCTTTTTCCCAGGAAAAGGATGTTCTCCTAAGTCTTCTTCATGTATGTACCACTAGTTTTCCACTATAAAGTAAGGTTTTTATTGTTGTTGTTGTTAATTCTGTGGGATTGAGTACTGTAAAATTAAATGCATGCCTTCCCCTGGATGATCTAGAACTGTAAAAGATGATGTCTGTATATGTTACCCAGGGGAAAGAGCACAGACAAAAGTCTATTGTGAAAAAATGTGGTATCCTGTTTTGATTGATATGTCCTGATAAGAAGCACTCAAAAAGGGTGTCAAAGCCCCAGAGTGATGCTGTTTTGTGGTTAGAGTATCATTTATGCAAGATTGAGAAGTTCTAAAGGCCAGCTGCCCAACGACTGCAGTGAATGAACAATTTTATAACGTGTGTTGTCATGATTAAAAACCAACCAGCCACGGGCTGGAGCGCTTGCACAGCCCGTGGGGCGTTTGTCTTGCACTTAGCCAACCTGGGTTTGATTCCCAGCATCCCATATGGTCCCCTGAGCACTACCAGGAGTAATTCCTGAGTGCATGAGCCAGGAGTAACCCCTTTGTAATGCCGGGTGTGACCCAAAAAGCAAAAAAAAAAAACCCAACCAAACAAACAAAAAACCCCAACCAGCCAACCAACCAACTTACAACCACTGACTAACCAACTAATCCATAGTTGGAACTGGAAACCAGAGCTGAAAACGCCACCTTCTTGTGTGGAAGCTAACGGAAGAATTAGCAGCTCCCATTTGAAGGCTGAAGACAGGGTAGAGAAATCAAAGGCTTCTCCACTTTACAAATCTTGGCAAGTTGTTTTTCCATTAGGAGTGATGATTGATGGGGGATTTCTGGTGACACTGTGATCCTAGGAGCAGAAGTCACCGTGTAAACAATACAGTCCTCACAAAAGGGGACTGTTCCCATGGCTGGCACTTACACACAGTATGAAGAAAGCTCTTGTGCCTTCCCTGATCTGGAGCCAAAATGCTCCTGAGTGAGGGGGACACTAGAGTTCAGGTTTCAAGAATTTTGTTACATGTATGGTACAGCGTTTTATTGATTTGTTTTGTTTCATTAAAAATTTAAAAAGTGTATATGAAATGCTAAAATGCTTTCATTGTTTAAGTGGGCAAATTAAAGAATGTTTATGATTAATCACGTTTCATTCATTCACACTTCGAACACTACCTTTGACCTCAGTCAAGACAATCACTTATAGCACTTACAGAACTTCTTTCAAGGTGGTAAACTTATTTTCAAACAAGTCTTTATGGTATGCTGATAAAACTCAGAGGGATTTGTTGGTGACACTGTGATCCTAGGAGCAGAAGTCACCGTTCACTGTTCACACTGTCCCCTGTTCACAGCTGAGGGTGTCAGAAGGCCCATTCGTGGAAATTTCCAGGGCACTCACACCAGCTGCTTTGTCCCCAAACTACTTAGGCAATTGAACGTTTAGAACAGACATGCTTTTAAGCCAATAAGGAGTGAGCGACTTTGACATTAAAAAGGGAGATGTTCTCTCTCTTATTGTTTGGGCTCAAATATTGGCAAGGAAGGACAGAATGAAAACAGAGATGGGACAGGCTGGATTAAAAATGCATGGGAAATAAGTGCCGTTCTGTATCGCTTGCTAAATGGATAGTGTTCAGAAAGTTTAAAAAAAAAACTAACCTTGAGGGTGCTATTAAGAAATTACTCTGGCAACCTGAAGTGAACTACTAAAATAGATGTTACTGGAGTTAAAATATTTCAGTTTTCGGGCTGGAGACATCATTCCCTGTACTGAGTGCAGGTTTCGCATGTGGGAGGCCTGGGTTCGATCCCTAACACCGTGTGGTCCCTGAGTACCAGCAAGAGCGACTCCCAAGAATAGAACTGGACATAATCCCTGAGCACTGTTGCATTGGCCCCGACACTAAACCAACAACAGCAACAACAACAACAAAGCAAAATAAGCTTCAGTTTTGGCAGAAAAAATTGTTCTCGTCGCCAGATAAGATAAAATCTTCACCAGGGGTTAGAAAACTTTTGTAGAGTTCAAGTCATCTCTTTGTTTCGCATGTAAGACCGTGTACTGCTCTCCACAAACATATAGCTGTCACATAGCTCTATTGCATTTGGAAATACATAGATCCGCTCTTCAAAGTTTTGTCTTGAGCTTCTCATCTTAACCGGCCATTGTAGAATTCCTTCTGAGATCATAGAATTATTTGTTATTTTTTACTTAGGCTATTTCCATGATTAAAATTCCACGTCTCCCCAGGTTTCCGTGAATGAGCAGTGGTGCCCCAGAAAGTGTTTCCCTTCTTCAGACTCCAGGGAAGTCTTGGAACGCAAAGAACTTGAAGAGGGAGACTAGCCAAACAGATTTTTGAGCCTTGGTAGGCTTTCTGGAGCAGACTTCTAGCACAAACACAAATCAAAGCCTGTGTATTCTTAAAAGCAGCATTTCATGTAAGTCTTGGGATCTCACTTTGGTTTCTGTTTGTTTTGGCGAAAGAAACGGAAAGCTCTCTCTCTCTTTATTTAGTCATTATTTCATAAGGGAATCATAACAAGTTATTCTAATATCTTTAATATCACTAATGAGTAACTTAGTTTAGTATAAAAGAGTAGCTAAAGTTATTTGCTATAACCTTGTCAATGGAAAATTAAGGAGAGAATTCCAGGTATTTTTTTTTTTTTTGTAATGGAATGGATTCTGATGCTGTTACTCAGATTCAGTTTTTTTTCTTTAAAAGATTGGCAAATATTGAATTTGTCAGTGATTTACTCAATTTCTGTCTTCTCAAAAGGAGAGAATTAAGAAATATCAAGATTTAAAACACAAAACCTTGGGATACTATGAAGAGCAACATGGGAGAAACCGACAAAAGAATTGAAACCTATAGTATAAGATGTCTTTCCAAGTTAAAGGTATGCAAGTTTTAATGTATAGATATTTGTGTATATATTTAACTTAGATCTTGAAAAGTTAGTTATCCAGTATAAATTTCTTGTACTAATATATCACTCATTTCTTGTCTCAGTGAAACATTTTGTGAGGAGGCTTATCAAGTAGGATTATCGATTTGGGCAATTCAATCAGAAATGGTTTTGAGGAATGAAATAAATCAAAACAGATTCTGGTAACTTTTCAGGCACACATCATATTACAAAATAGTTTCTTTTTCTGAGACGATTTCATGCTCACCTTTCTGGGACATCTAAGAGGAATGACGGTGTCTCTCTGGGAAGAAAGTTTAATGAACAAGTGTTTTGTTAATCTGTATGCAAGTGTTATTTCACAATGACCCAGTAAAACGTTTGCTTCAAAACCTGGCAAAATAACAATCATTCTCTGTAAAAAAAATGCCCGTTTTACTGGCTGTTTCTGATATTTCTGACTACTTGAGAGCAGATTCCTTTTTGGTATGGCTACAAAGGAATTCTCTCTTTAAACAAAATTTGATTTGCTTTAAACCCAAGACCTGAAAATTAGCCTTGATTTTGTAACAAGTACCTGAGTTTCCAAACTATGAAGCTGCCACCAATTTTCTCCTTATCAATCATTTTTCTTGCCTCAATGGACAGATAGGGAAAATATACACATGTACACGAAAGTGGAGAATTATGAAATAACTTGAGAAAAACTTTGTCTGAAAAGCCATGCTAATTAGCAGGGAGTGAGGTGTTCCTTTATGGACACTTCAGTTCTCCTGTGCTCCTAAAACTAGGTTGGTAAATTAAGAATGAAAAAACAGGCTCCCGGGTTTACATCTGAGTTCACTTGCTTTTATTCTCTGTGACTCTGAACAGCTGCTTACTCTCTGAGCTACGGTTCTCAAATATGACAAGGGTAATAGCAATTGTCCTTTTTCACAGAGTCCTCTTATTTATTTATTCATTTGTCAAACCTGGTGATGCACAGGAGTTACTCCTGACTCTGCACTCAGAAATTACTCCTGGTGGTGCTCAGGGGACCATATAGGATGCTGGGAATCAAACTCGGGTTGGCCGCATGCAAGGCAAACGCTCTACCCGCTGTGCTATAGCTCCAGCCCTCGTCCTTCTCTTTTGATATACTTAGCAATATTAGCACTCAATGGTTGTTATTTTATATTAATAATAGTAATTGTACCCCAAATCAAGCCAGGTATTATCTATAAGCAATTGGTCTTGCATTTCTGATTACTTTGGCACGTACAATATTTGATATTTTATATGAATGTGACAGCAAATTGTCGCAAGTACATGTTTATCGAGTAAATTGAGAGGCAATTGGTTAATAAGCAAAATTTTTCACTTCTCTGAGGTTAAAGATATATGTTCATTAAACAAATTTCTATACAAAGTCTCCAGGGAATTTAGCCTCCACATGTTTTCCTCCCACTCTGGAATATCGTTGTTAAAGCCTGACTTTGTAAATATAGAGATAATTTTGCATTAGACATGAGTCAGAATAGGCACTAGTTGTGCCTATTTCATAGTTTTTTCCACACAATTTTCTACTCATATTTCACCAAAGAAGACACACGGATAGCTCTTGGCTTAGATATATTTGGTACTTTACATATTGGCTTATTCTCAGATTATTTTCTACCTGGATCACTTCTTCAAGATGCTTTCATATACTCACGATAACATGACTTTTATAAAATTGTAGCAGGTACTCATTCTTCATGGGACACTTACAGGATACCAAAGAAGAGAAAGTCAGTAGTACATGACACTGGTCTTTGAATTTCTCTCAGTATATCTCAGTGAGGGATGAGTGAGAGGCACACAGACCCTCAGGAAAAGGGCATAGTGATCAGAGCTTAGTTGAGGCAAGCATATAGCAGGGTGAGAAGGTGAGTGAGTGGGCAAAGCTACCAGGGGCAGAGAGTCAAGAGTCCACAATAGAAATGATGATGAAGTTGGATTTTTAAAAATCGAGTGCATATTATATGCACAAGGTGAAAAACGACCCTGCAGGTGGAGGACTCTCCTGTGAATGGCACTGATGTGTGAGATGACATTGTGAATCAAAGGAATTGGACACAGTACAGAATATCTGTGGGAAGGTAATGGGAGATACGGTTAAGCTATGTATATGGTTTCATCATCTAAAAGCAGAGAAAATTGTTTATAGAAAGTCACTAAAATATTTTGAGGAGTGAAACTAACTATGCATTTTATTAATTAGTTTGACACGTATTTTTCTAAGCTCCAAAGTAGAGTGGTAGCACATGAAAGGGATTTTGAAGGTCAATAAGATGAGAAGAGACCGAAAATGTTCTAACTTGTCAAAGATAAACTATGCAGTGGAGAGATTTCAGGCAGCGGGTGGTAGTTAAAACCATGAGAATGACAACGTTTCTGGGGAGAAGGCAGTTATAGGAAAACCAGTAGAGTATGCATGACAAAAGTAAGGCAAAGAAGACTACACAGAAAGTCTAGCAGATAGGTAGATATATTGGTATGTATGGACGGTGGGAAGAGAATTTCAGGAAGAAAGGAGAGATGAGTGGTTTCAAATGACTCAGAGACGTGTAAACCAAGAAGTATTTCTGGAATTTGGAAATCAGGTAGTTATTTATGTTCAATCACAAAATAACTATAAGAAAATTTAGACCTTTGTAGACTGGAGGGTGCTTGGAAGGCTGAGCGGTGCAGACAATAATCTAGACTGTTCTTACAAACATCTTAGTGTAAATTGAGTAGCTACTTTAGGGAAAAGGAAGAGATATCTACTTGTAAGACAGAAATACCTTGGGAATATTTAGAAGTTAGCGGGATAGAGGAATTAAAGAGTATGAGGTTGAAAATGGAAATGAGGTGCAATTATTTAATGGGAAAGAACGGAGAGTTTTGCTACCTGGGAGAAGGTATTCCTCCCCTTTCGTGATGAGAGAGAAGTCAGAGGGGTGAGGAGAGAGGTGAGTTTGAAGGTGAAGTTTCTGACATCATCGGTTGGTCATGAAGAGTATGTGGTTGGCACTGAGAAAAAGAAAAGGCCATCAGAAATCTTGAGGGGGATCAAGACTTACCATATAAATTGTGCTTAATGATCAGGTGTATGGAATTTTCAGAGGTGAAGATTTTAATTTTCTTTTACAACTAGAGACTACAATGAATGGTGTACTAGGATGGAAGTGTCATAAGAAATATCTTTAGGGGTCATGAGATGGGATAGGGTTGGAGACTCCCATCCAGACTGACACTTTTATTTATTTATTTATAACTTTTTAAAAGCAATAATGAATCTACCTAACTATACTATTATTCAGTATACAATTACAGTTTTTCTAATCTCTTTTTGAAGGCATTTATAAAAGTATATTTGTCCAATTAATAAAAACTATCAAAATTTTACCTTTTTTATTTTTCAGTAAAAATGTATTAGCTCCTCCTGACTGCAACAGTTCTAAATGTTAAGTTGTCCTTGATTGCTGTGGATCATATTAGCCTGCTCTTTCTGTGGAACTATATTATTAAACAGGAAATGTGACTTAATATGTAGAAATATATTTGTTTAGCTTAGAAAATATCAGCTCATCTTAGAAACATTTTTGTAAGTTTGCAATCAAGCTGTTGTTTTAAATAAATTAACAGAGAGTCAGGACATCTATCTCTTGTCACTTTTTTTTGTTTATTTGCTGTTTGGGGGCCATGGTGGTGACTAGGGCTAATGTCTGACTCTGAGCTCAGAGATAACTCCTGGAGGGCTTAGGGATTCTATAGGGTGCTGGGGATTGAACATGGGTCAGGTACATACAAAGCAAGTCACCTACCCATTTTACTTTCTTCCCGGTCTCTACTGTTATATAATTTGATTACTAATCAAAGACTACAGGCAAATTTGATAGATAAGTGTCTTTTTGTAACACTGAATCCCTTTTATTCATTGTGTAGTCTTTTGTATGACAGAATTGTAGCGCCAAAGGTCTATGTAAATACCTTGATCTTATTTAGGATAACTTTTAAAAATTTATGTACAAGATGTGTGTATAAAACAATGGTGCCTCAACTTCCTATAAAATTCAGTACTCTAGTTATGTAGTTCCAAGTGAAATTTTTAACCAGAGCATAGCCTTAATACCTGAAGAACAAAATAAATTAAAATTTTCCTACTTATTCAAAATTTACTTAAATTGGGTGGGGGTATGGTGCTGCCAGAAGGTCAATCTATACCTGTGAGGCGAGTGCATCAGCATCCTGATGGTGCTTTCAGACTTCCAGATACCCCAAAATTGCCTTTGGCCAGACCCCAAAAACTTGGGGAAAAGTGTACCAAGAAAGTAAACGGCCAAAAGTTAGGTATGTGGGAGACACACCCACAAACCACCTCGGGCTCAGCTATATAATTGGAGGCATGCCTCTCTGGTTCCTGATCAAACTGCTTAATGGCCATGATCCCAGAGACTCAGAAACAAATCTTAAAACCCAGAGGCTTTTGGCAGAAATGCGTCCGGACCAAGCAGTAGGTTACTATGGCCGGGCCACCCCAGGGGGGAAAGGGTGCTGTTCCTCCGCCTGCTCCCCCTTGACGGTTTGGTGGCCGCCATCCGCCAGAAGCCATTGGACAGTCAGGTTTTGGCCCGCAGTGATGAGACATGCAGGGCCTCATGGCATGGATGTGGAGCCGGCCCTTTTACCCCCACCCCGAGACCCCAAGTCGCCACCATCGAACGGCCTCTCTGGCTCCTGATCAAGCCATTTAATGGCCATGATCCCAGAGGCTCAGAAACAAGTCGCAGAACTCAGCAGCTTTTGGCAGAAATGCATCCAGTCCCTGCAGTAGGTTACTGGCACTGGGCCACCCCAGGTAGGAATAGGTTTTGTGCCTTGGCCTGTTCCCCCTGGCGGCCCAGTGGCCGCCATCCTCCAGAGGCCACTGGACAGTCAGGTTTGGGCCTTCAGTTGATGAGACACGTAGGGCCTCATGGGATGGGGGTGGAGCTGGCCCTTTCCTCCCTGTCCCAACGAGACCCCGAGTCGTTGCCCACAAATGGCCTCTCTGGCTCCTTATCAAGCTGCTTAACGGCCATGATCCAAGAGACTCAGGAACAAATCTCGGAACCCAGCAGGTTTTGGCAGAAATCTCACCAGATTTAATTGTTAAAATTTTGAAATTTCAAAATCGCATGGCCACTACTGCAGCCACGCAACATCATATGTTATTCATAACCAGCAATAGAAAACAAATTGTCTATGGTTGCCTTTTCAGCAGATCTGAGTGTTGGGGTAAAATCCCAAATAATAATGGTGGGTCTGGTGTCAAAATATTGAATATATTCAAAGTAGAGAGAGAGTAATGTGGAAATCATCTGCCCCACAGGTAGGGGGAGGGTGTGCGATGGGGGTATACTGGGATTGTTGGTGGTGGAGAATGGGCACTGGTGAAGGTACAGGTGTTTCATTGTATGACTGAGACTTAAACCCGAAAGCTTTGTAACTGCTCTCATGGTGATTCAATAAATTACATTATAAAAAATGAAAAAAAGTAAGGTGGAGTTCATGCCCAATTCAATCAGCTAATCAGTGACTGAATAAATAGCAGTACTCCTACATAAAAAAATTTTTTTTAAAAAGTTACTTAAATTGGGGACAATTGTGGTAGAAGATATTTGGTAAGAGTCAAATATGAAATTTTAAAATTATAATTTCTCATGTTTTCTTGTATTATTTTCTCTTAGATGTTTCTGTTGGCGATAACATGTGCTTATGTATCCAAAACTCTATCCGGATCTTATATGAATTCCATGCTCACACAAATAGAGAGACAATTCAATATCCCAACATCTCTCGTTGGATTTATTAATGGGAGCTTTGAGATTGGTAATCAATTACTTTGACATTATTTCTTTTTATATTTTATCTATGGCTCATGTCTAAATTTTATTCTCTTTATTTGCTGGGTTAGATCATGCATTCTGATTGAGTATATGTCATGGAAAATAGATTGATAGCCTATATAACTTTTCTTGTTTATTTTTGTTTTGGGTCACACCTGGCTGTGCTTAGGGCTTACTTCTGGCTCTGTGCTGAAGCATCACTCCTGGTGGGCTTGGGGGATCACATATGGTTTTGGGAATTGAACCCTGATTACCCACATGCAAGAGAAGCACCTTCCTGTCTGTACTATCTCTCCAACAGCAGCCTAGTTAAATTTTAGATTATGCTCAGAATGAGTTTATTAAAAAAATATTCTTTTGGGTACACCCCTACATATTGCATACACACATCTATTTATGTATTTGTTGGAGAGATATATTTGTGTATATGTATTTGTCAGCAGAGAGAGTTTGAAACATACCCGGTGGTGCTCAGGAACTACTACTGGCTTAATGCTCAGAACTTATTCCATATGTGCTTGGGGGATCATGCACACCAGGGATTGTTACTTGGAGCTCCTGTATACAAAGTTGATCAGTACTTAGATCCATATCCATGGCCAAGAGGTATTTGTATCTAACCTACTGTTAGATAACCAAAGCCTTTATCTTGAAATCATGGAAAACAAAACATCAAGTCATCTAAAGAAAAAAGCAAATATATTTCTCCTACTGCTTTTGAGAGGATGAGAATTTTTCTTCTGAATGCAGAGGAAAGATGAATTGCTTTCACATTTCCCTACATTTATTTCAGAAACAGCATGCCAGGAGAAAACCAAGTATATTCTTAGATTGTGATTTTTGCGAATGATGGGAAAGATATGGAACAGAAAGTAAGGAGAAGAGAGCAGAATATTACTGTATAAAATATGCTTTCCACTTCCTTAGGATTTTATTATGACTTCTCTTTCCTGCAATGTTGCAGCTGATTTAACATATTTAATCAATATATAAAAGGGGAATCAGGATATTGAAGAAACAAAGCTGAAATGGGTGATGCCTGTACTCCATTTCCCAGTGTCCAATTCCCTCAGTCCTTTCTAGATAACATCTGTGGGCTAGACATCAGGCACAGAGTTTAAAATAATTCCTTATGTGTTTCCAGAGTAGGTATACAGACTATTCAAGGGAGATAGGCTCTTGAAGAATGAAGAAGTTTTCCAAGTGAAGATAGGGAATCACGACAAGGTGATTGTAGAAGCGTAAGAGTGAGGCAATGTCTACACTTGTTTGGTGGGGAGCAGCATTTAGCCAAATATTTTTGACCTGACCACAGGCTTCCAATGCAAATCAGTAGGGTATAAACCCAGAGAGAAGGTAAGGAAGAGTCACTAAGGTATTTGCAGGGTTATATATATTTCTGTGCTAAGGATCCTATGATTTCAGAATAATATTTTTGATTGCATCAATTAAAAAACACAAAGGCACAAAAAGTCAATTATAATGAAATAAAATTGCCAAAATATTGATGCGTCATGTATAGTAATAGTATACTATAGCATAGCATACTATAAATAGTATACTATTACTATATAGTAATTACTATTAGTATAATTGGTATTAGTATAATTATTATTACTATATAGTAATTACTATTACTATACTATTACTATATACTATAATATCCTATAGTATACTATAGTGTATAGTATATACTATAGTATATAGTATACTATTAAATACTACTAAAAGAACTAAACTGTATGCTATAGTAATATTTATTTGTACTTTTCCCCTCAATTTATAATCATATCTGTATTACCTTCCAAGTTATGATTAGTATCAGTGATATTTTGGGGTATGTGTAACAAATCTATATCATTTTTGCTGGTGATAATATCAGACAAAATCATAGTTACATAAATACTACTGTGGTTTAGACCTAATTTCATTATAAAGGAAAATACTAATATTTAGTAATAAAAAAAAGTAAAGCTGTGATTTTTTTAATTCTCACTCAACTCATTCCCTGATTTCCATCTTTGTAGCTTGCAGGTCCAGAACTGTTTGAAGGGAAGGTCAGTGTGCTTCATAGGATGGTCATGCTTCTAGCTGTAGTGGCCAAGCAGACCTGGGCAGAGATGTCAAAAAGTCAAAGCACAAATACAGTGAAGGGCTCTCAGGGTCTAAGCCAGGATCACACTGGCAGGAACAGAGACAAGGTGGTGACCTAAGTCATATTTAGGAGTCAAATTCTAGAGAATTCTAGTGGAAGAAGAGATGTGGCAGACGTGGAAAGAGGGTGTACCCAGGTTCATGAGGAAAGGTGGGCAGTGGAGCCCTTAGGAATTCTGGGGTGTGTTAGAGGCAAGGAAGTAAGATTTTGCTTGTGCTTGTGGGGATAGTGATGAGTTCTGCTTTGGCAAATCATTTATGATAGCTCCAGTTAGACTTGAAGGTAGCAATGTCCACACTGTTGTTGCTTGAATCTCAAACACTGGGGAATTTTTGTCATTGAACTATTGATCAATAGTGAATCAATAGTTACTGATCAATAGTTGCTGATCCAAATCAATAGCTGATCAATAGTTGCTGATCCAAATCAGAGAAGAGAGCCAGAGAAGTAGTACAGCAGCTAAGGTGCATAACTTGCATGCAGTCAACCCCAGTTGGATCCTGGGTACTACATGACTTCCTAAGTACTGCTGGGTCCAGCCTTGGAGACCCATGAGCATCTCCAGGGTCGCCTGGGTAATCCCCATTACTGTGGAAACACATACTCAGATTCTCCAGACCTGACCTCTCAGGTCTGCTTGGGAGAAATAAAGGACAAGGCTTAAGAACTTATCCATATGTGTGACTCAACTCTTTCCTTCAATACTCCTTAAGAGCATGCCCATTAGAATAGAGAATCTGGAATTATTTTATTTATCCTAAGACTTTTGTTTGTTTGTTTATTTTCTGGGCTACACCTGCCAATGCTCAGGGCTTATTCCTGGCTTTGCACCCAGAGATCATTCCTGAAAGTGTTTGAGGAACAATATGTGGTTCTGGGGATTGAACCTGGGTTAGCTGCATGCAAGGCAAGCACCCCACCCACAGTGTTAATGCATCAGCCCCTATCCTGATAATTTTTCCTAAAAAGTGAGGTACATTTTTCATTGTGTTTTTTTCAATCCCTTAAATCTTGACCAACTTGTTAGACCCAGTTGGAAAAGTGGGAATCTGCTATCTTTTACTTGTTAATAAAAAATAGATCTTTGACCAATTTAAGGCCACCATATTTGAGTCATGGGAGATAAATACCTGTCTAAATTTTATATATGATTCTCTTCAAGCATAGGAAAACATTACAGTGCTCTTCAGAGAAAGCATGAAGGACAAGCCAGAATTTACATCTAGGACAGTACACACTTTTCATTCTAGTTCTTTGTTTTTTTATGTTTTGTTTTTGTTGCTGTTGGTTCGGTTTCTTGATTTGGGGTCACATCTAGCATTACTCAGAAACTACTCCAGGTACAGTGCTCAGGGGACCCGATGGTGCTGGAGGTCAGACCCAGGGCCTTGTGCATATAAAGCAAGTGGTCTACCACTGAGCCACATCGCTGGCAGGCTTCCTATTTCTTAAAGCTAGATAATCACAAATAAAGCAATTAAAATCTCTCAGTGCCTTTCTTAACCTTCCTTTACCTGGCTTTCTTTCCCGTTCCCCCATAAATGTTTCTATTCTTTCTCAAGCTGTTGGTGAAACTAGTTGCATTGTGAATCTGTGCTCTCCTTTAGGGTAGGTAAGAATTTTATAATTTCATGCATTCCTAGCACCAATCTCAGTACTTGAAATAATTACTATACAAAAAAATGCTTGAGAGTCCTCTGTGTGGCTGTGAATTTAAGATGTATTAATACTTAGTGAAATATGTGATTTTTTCCATTTCAATTTTTTCCTAGGAAATCTTTTGTTGATTATATTTGTGAGTTATTTTGGAACAAAACTGCATAGACCCATAATGATTGGTGTCGGATGTCTAGTTATGGGTCTGGGATGTTTCTTACAATCACTGCCTCATTTTCTCATGAAACGGTAAGTAATATCATCTTTGATAATTTTGTAGGCTTGTCATTAGGTGGAGAAAAGAAAGATTGTCCCTTTTGGGGGGAACAATGATTCCAAATAATAGACAACATTGTCCTTGGAATCAGGAGGCTAGTGCTGTAAGTGCCCTTGGCTATCTAACTTCTGTTTACAAAGTCATATTTTGTCAACAAATCAAGTGCAAACTTGGACATTTCTCTTGGAATCCAGTCTGATAGAATTGAGAATTTTAGGACCTGGAAAAATGTGGGCATGTGTCTTTCTCAGGACTCATGAGCACTTCTCATTATGTTGAGGTTCTGTTTAATTGTAGACCATTAAGATATAGGCCAACATGAAGTTTGGTTTTTGTTTCCATTTTTATAAAGTATTACGCATATAAAATTGGAGAAATAGAATTGTATCACAAGGCTCACATTGCAAGCTATTCGTTGCTTGTTTCCTTATGTTCATATTTTCAGAAGTGACCATTTCAATTCTTTCAGCTCTTTCTTCCCCTATTGGCTTTCATATTTCTAAGTTAAGGTTTATCCTTTCAGTTTTTGATAATCCAGTGTTCTGCAAAAAATATTGACTTTTAATATTAGATTTTATTTACTATTTTGTGTATGTGACTATGTAAATATATTCAACTCCTGAACGATGCTGTATTATTATTATTACTTTCTTATATCAATTTTATTGAGAATTGATAATTGGTACATTTTAATTTTATTTCTTCTTTTGTTTTGTTTTTGAAATGATTCCTTTTTAAGTGTCATGAATGCATCACCAAGCACTCCACAGCAATGTCTTCTCAATACACTCACACATATTTGTGGGTTGCAATTTTGTCTGTCTCTGTTAACTTTGGGTCTAGTTAAGCCCACAGAATTGGTGTTACTTTGAAACTTTCACCTCACCATGATCCTGGACTGGGCTTTGCCTCTTTATTTCATTCAATATTTCCTGTGTATTGTATCTTCTAGTTTCTTTTAACTCTCATTTAAAAAAAAAGCAATTTGATTAGATTCTAAGAAAGTGTGTAAGAAAGTGAAAAATTTATTTTCCAGTTGTACTGAGTAATAATTGACAATAATTAGTAATATTAATATGTCATAATTGCATAAGTTTAAGACATCAAACATGATGATTTGATTGATAGGTACTGTGAATGACCTTCACAATTATGACCCTAAAACGAAACCCACCAATCATGCATACAATAAAAGAAAAGAAAAAGGAGAAAGAAAAGCATTTTCTTATGATACAAAATCTTAAGGATTTATTTGGAACATCTTTTATTTTTATTACATATTACACAGCAGAGTTAGCTATACCCAGCCTGTTATCAATCACATTCTAGGAAACATAACTTATTAATCTCATAACTTATCTTCTTAGTCAGTACCTTTGATGACTTCCTTCTAATTCTATCTTCTTTCTTCAATCTTTTAAGCACGAGTGGGATCACTTGTTCTGCATTTTAAAAAAAATCCTGATTTTCTTAAAAGAATCCACATATAAGAGAGCATTTGTTGTATTTGGCTTGGCACAGTATCTTCAAGGCTTACCTATATTGTCACAAGTGGAATAGGTATTTATTTTTTAATCTTCTAAGTTATGATAATATCTTTTAAAAACTTGTAGTTGAGGTGTTACATGTAACACTATGTTCCTAATGGTGTTGATGTTTGTGTGTTAGTTGTACCAAGTTCCTCTTCCGCCACTACTGCCACAGTGCCCAAGACCTGCCGCATTGTCCTGGAGTTACTTCTTGTTCTCCTCTTCCTGCTTTCACCCCAGTCTTACTGGCTTAGTAACCTCAGGGATTTTGGTTGATTGTTTGTTTTTGTGGAAAGAGTGGAGTGTTTTAAACAATAACTGGTAGACCCCAATTGCTTGGGGACTTCTCTTGCTTCTGTGCTTGGGGATTCAACCCACTGCTGCTTGTGGGATCTTGTAGCAGGGATGGAACCAGGATCTGCCTCATTGGTAACCTCGGTTCTGCAGTCAAAGTTCATTGCTTTGTTGGCATTGAAAACCATCCACTTCTTGACTTTATTCCTTTCTATGCAGCATTTGAATGAAAGTATCCAGTCTGTTTTTCTCCTCCTGACTTATGTGAACATGACAGTTCATGTAAGTCACCTCTAGTTCTATTCATCTTTTCTTATAGCTGAATAGTCTATTGTGTATATAGACTACAACTTCTTTATCCACTAATGTGCCACTGGGCACTTGGGTTGTTTCTGTTGCTTGGCTATTATTAATAGTTCTGCAATAAATACAGGCATATTTATAATTTTGCATTCTGGAAATAGATACCAAAAGTGGAATTTCTGGGTCATAGGGGAGTTTTCTTTTTTCTTTTTAATTTTTTTTAGATGTCTTTACACTGTTTTTTTCATAGGGGCTGAACCAGTGGACATTTCCACCAACAGTGAAAATTTGTTTGAATTAAAAATAATAGATATCTTTCAAAAGAAAAAAATAAACTTTTTGTTTGATGTAATCCCATTTTTGGCCTTTATTATCTTTGCCAATGGAGCTAATTCTTGAAGATACCTCTGAGGTCCATATCATGTAGTATTGTTCCTTTTTTTGGTGTATTTTATAGAAATTTTTGCCCAATATCAATATGTTTAATCCATTTAAAATTGAATTTTGTGTATGATATGGGATGGGGGTGCAACTTTTTAAAATGTGGTTATTCATATTTTCTAATGCCATTTGTTGATGATTCTGTTTATATTTAATGCACTCAACTCCTTTTTTTGGTTAATTAACTATTCATACCTCAGAGGTTTTATTTGCAGACTCTCAATTCTATTCCATTGGTCTGAGAGTCTGCCTTTATCCTAGTATCACATTGTTTTGATTTCTATTGCTTTAGAGTTTAAATTGAAGAAATGCAATGACACCCATCTTTTTATTTTAAAGTTCAGAATTGTTTCAGATACTTAGGGAATCTTATGGTTCCAAATAAATTTTATCAGTGTTTGTTTTATGTCCATTGGGATTTTGATGGGGTATCACTGAATCTGTATCATGTTTTGGTAGTATGGTCATTTTGATTATGCTAGCTATGACCATGGAAAAAAATTCCATTTCTTTTAGTTCTTTTCTATTTCTTTTAATAGTGACTTCAATTTTTTAAAGTATAAGTATTTTACATTCTGTGTTTAGTTGGGTCTTGGATATTTGATATTTTTGGACAATAAATGGGATTGTTATGTAGCTATCTTTTTGTTTTAATTTGTTACTTTTATATAGACATGAACTGATTTTTGAATGTTGATTTTGTAGTTTGCCTCTTTTATTATTTGTTAATTATTTCTCTCTTTTTTGGGCATTTGGGTCATACCCAGTGATGCTCAGGGGTTACACTTGGCTCTGCACTCAGGAATCACTCCTGGTGGTTTTCAGGGGACCAACCATATGAGATGCTGGGGATTGAACCCAGGTCAGCTGCATGCAAGGCAAGTGCCTTACCCACTATACTATTTCTTCAGTCCTGTATTTGTCAATTATTTCTGACAGGTATTTTTTATAATGGAATCTTTATGGTTTTCCATGTAAATTACCATGTCATACGCAAATAACAATAGAAACTTTTTTCCAGTTTGAAAGGCTCTCCTTCCTTCCTTCCTTCCTTCCTTCCTTCCTTCCTTCCTTCCTTCCTTCCTTCCTCACTCATTTATTCCTTCCTTTTTCTTATTTTTTTTAAATTTTGGGGCCACATCTGACTGTGCTTAGGGCTCACTCCTGGCTTTTCGCTCAAGAATTATTCTTGGTGCCTCACGGATTAGGGGCTAGGGATGAAACACAGTTGGCTGTGTAATGCTTTATCCTCTGTAATTCCCTCTGGTCCCTGATTCTATTTTCTTGTCTTCTTGCCATGGCTATGAAACCATTCTAATACTATGTTAAATAGTAGTGGAGAAAGTGGCATACTTGACTCAAATCTGATTTGAAAACTTTTAGTTTTTATTTTTTGGAGGGGTGGTGGGTCTGGCATACACCAATTGTACTCGGAAATTACTTCTGGTTCTGTGCACAGGAATCAATCTTGGTAGGTCCTGGGGGACTAGATGCGTTATTGGGGATAGAACACAGGTAGACTACATGCAAGGTAAGTGACTTACCTAATGTACTATTTATCCATCATATTAAGTATGAGGTTAGTTATTGGTTTGTTGTATACACTTGTTATTCTCTTGAGTATTTCCTTCTTTAAATTTTTAAAAGAAGTTTTAGCCACTGTGGTTTCCAATACTATTAATGGTTTGGATTCATATACAGAACATACCAGCACCATATCCTACACTAAAGTGTTCACTTCCATCCACCATTATTCCAATATCCCCTACTTCCTTTCTCCATCTTCACACTCCTGTGGTAAGGTTCCTACTGAAGACAAATCTTCAGTTTCTGTGACTCGAGGAAACTTGTAGGGCTAAGCTGTTTCCGTATTGGAGGGTCTCAGGGTAGCCGAGGGCTGCTGTGTCTTCAGGCAGGAAGGAGAGTTTCTAGAAGACCCCAGGGTTGTTAGTCAAACCAGCCTACCTGGTAAAATTCAACTATATAATGTTCTTTTAGAGGTCTGATGCTTGCTATTTCTTTGCTGGCAAAATGATGTATGTCTCTTCCAAACCTTTAAAGACCTACTCCTAATGTTTATCAGATTCTTTCTCACAGGAAAAGAAGTAGGAACCCTCCCCAACAGCTTGTGTTATGCAAACATATCCTGATACTGAAAGCAGACAAAGGCATCAGATAAAAAGAAAATGAAAATTATAGATCGATAGTTCTCAGTGGGAAGGGGGCAAGGCAAGTGTTATACCTGCTGTATTGCCTCTCCGGTACCTCCTTTATATTTTTGGGTGCCCATTGTAATTTCTCCCCTTTCATCCTGGATATTATTTATTAGTGTTCTCTTTCATTTTCACCTTGTGAATTTCTAGCTAAGGGTTTCACAATCTTGATTATCCTTCTGAGAAACTAGCTCCCAGTTTCATTGACCTTTTGTGTTGTTCGCTTGATTTCCGTACTATTGATTTCTGTTTTGATTTTTCCCTTCATTTGTTTTGGGTTTCACTTGTTCTTTCTCTAGCCTCCCAAGATGTTAGGTTAGACTATTTATTTGAGCTTTTTCCTGTTTCCCTTATGAAAGCCTGTATTGTTATGAACTTCCTTCTTTATACTGCTTTTATTGTGTCCCAGAGGTTCTGATAATGTGTCTTATTTTTTATTTGTTTCAGAGAATATTTTATTTCTTTTTTGATTTTATCTTCAGCGGTAAAAACATACTTTTTTCCCAACAGTATTTTTTAAATTTAATCTCCCAACTGTTTGAACTTTCCTTTAATGATGAGTTTCTATCTGCATGGGATTATATACTACAACTTTATCCATTTGTCCATCAAAGAATCCTATGGTTGTTTCTATGACTTGTCTATAATAATGTATTATAACATGAGATACCATCATCGTAGCAAGTTAGTGTTTATGTTTTCTTTGGACACTTTCCTGGAAGTGGAACTGCTAGATGACATGATAGTGGCAATCCTAATCCCTCTTACAGTGCTCGAAGATCCCCTTTCTCCATATCATAACAAGCATTTAAAAAAGTCTCTTGAGCTTTTATTTGTTTGTTTGTTTCTAGAGGGGGCACATCTAGAAGTGCTCGCGTTGGGGCAATGTGGTGCTGGGGATTGAACCCAGAGCTTCACATATGCAAAGCACGTGCATAACCACCTGAGTCACATTCCTGGCCTCTCTCATGTGTTTTTAAATGATGGCCCTTCCAACAGGCATGATAGAATACCTAATAGTGTTCTTATGTTCTTGCATTTTCTTAATGACTAATGATATTGAACATATTTTCTTCTGCCAGTTAACATTTACATGTCTTCTTTTAGAAGAATGTTTAAGTCCTTTGTCCATTTTTTCCCCATTTATTTATAAACTTATTTAGTTTTGCTATTTGAGGTAACCTAGTTCCATGTGCTATTTTTTTCATTTTTTGCTGTTGAGTTGTATGAATCCTTTATACATTTTAGGTATCAGTTCCATATCAGATATGTGGTTTCCGACTTTATTTTCCATTTTATATGTTGTCTTTTCATTCCACTATTTATTTAGCTTTCCAGAATATTTTTATTTTTTAGTCTCATTTCTTTATATTTGCTTTTCTTGCTTGTGCTTTAGGCATCCTATCCAAAGTATTAACAACACCTATGTAAGGAACTTTCATTATTATTTTCTTCTAGAAGTATTATGATCTCAAGTCTTTCATTAAGTGTTTAGTCCATTTCAAGTTACTTTTTGGTGACTGGTATTAATAGAGGGGTTGAGTTTTATGCTTTTTTCTATGGTTTTAAAATCACTCCAGCATTATTATTTGAAGATGCTATCTTTGGTTTAAGATACTGAATATCTGGAAAATATTCCTATTATATTCCTGCACTTAATTGACAAGTTAGATGGTAAAAAATTTTGGTTGGAAATATTTTTCCTAGGAATATTAAAGATATTTCCTTTTTAGCTTTTACAGTTACTATTGAGAATCTTGTATTTGGGACCAGAGAGATGGTACAAAGGTTAAGGTGCTTGCAAGACATAGAACTGACCCTGGTTCAATCCTCAGTGTGATATGTGATTCTGTAAGCCCTGCCAGGAGTTATTCTTGAGCACAGAAATAGGAATGAGCCTTAGATACTTCGAGTTTGGGGCCAAGCATTCCCACTTCCTGCAAAAGAAAATATCTTGGGCCCTTCTAATCTCTTTGGCCAGTTTCTTTTCTCGGGGATTTTGGGATTTTCTTTCTAGTTCCATACTCTGAATTAAATAATAATTGTCTTGGTATAAATTTTATTTCTCCATTCTGTGAGGCTTTTTTCCCTTTTTTTTTTTGCTTTTTGGGTCACATCCGGTGATGCACAGGGGTTACTCCTCGCTCTGCATTCAGGAATTACTCCTGGTGGTGCTCAGGGGACCATATGGGATACTGGGAATTGAACCTGGATTGGCCATGTGCAAGGCAAAAGTCCTACCTGCTGTGCTATTGCTCCAGCCCCTGTAAGGCATGTTCAGTTAGAACTTTTGGAAAAGTTGTTTGTATCTGACAATACCATAATTTGACAGTTGATTTTATAATACTCCCCTGCCCCATATTTCCTCTTTCTGGAACTTTTGTTACTTAAATTCCATGCACCCTAGATTAATTTTATATTTTGATTCCAATGCTAATTTCATTTTTGTTTTTTGTTTGGGGGTCACACCCAATGGTGTTCAGGACTTACTCATGGCTCTGTGCTCAGGGCTTACTCCTGGAAGTGCTCAGGGGACCACATATGGGGTTCTGGGGTCGAACCCATCTCAGTCACAAGTCAGGCAAATACCCTACTTACTGTACTATTTCTCTGGTCTCTAATTTCAAAATTTAATCTCTTTGTCTTCCTGTTATTTTATGCGAGATTCATTTTATCTTCCAAATATTTGTTTAGGTTTGTAACTTTTGCTATCATATTTTCAATTTTCAGTGACTCTTTTGTTCTTTGTCTCTTTTTAAGTCACAACTTGTTCTTCTTTCAAGAATGCAGTATCTTTTCCCAGCTATTTTTTTCATCTGTTCTCATTGACTCTGTGTCTTTCCACTGTATAGCTTTATAGTTTTATCTCTCTTTTTACTGTTGTAAGTTTCTTCCCTCATATACCTCGTATTTTGTGGATATCTAATCATATCTTTGGTCTAGTAAGTGGAAACTTTGCGAGCAACCAGGTGAGAGTAGGAATCTCACTTTTTAGGTTGTAGTTATTAATTTTTGACTCATGACTCCCCATATTTTGACTGGTCCCCCTCAACCATTGTTATTGTGCCTGTTCAGACTCTTTAAAATTTGCTCAGTGATTTATCTCTAAAGTCCTCAGTGACTATTAGTTATCTATTTTTCATATTTCAAAATCTTATTAACTCTCTTTTTGTCAAACCTTCCACTCTCTTTATCCTCGTGACATCAAACCTTTTCCTTTTTGATTAGAAAATCCATTCGCTGTCATTTTGCTGATATTTGGGGAAATGAATGAAATTTGAGTTAAATGAAAAAAAGATACCTTATCCTCTCTGGTATTTCTTGTGGGATCAAAGTTTCCAGGAAAATTGGTTCTACTGCCCTGTTTCTAATCCAAATCATATTCAAGACAATCTCAAGAAACATTCAGTTATTATTTGCATTTCATTCCACCTTTTGCCAAAGATGTTTTTTCTTTGAAGATGGCATGTGTCAAAGAGTCATGAGTTTGACACAGAAATCTTTGTCCACAGTTCAGATTCATCCTCTTATGGGAATGACTGGGTAATTGTTCTAAAGAGAACATATTTTGACACTTTTTAATACATTCTATAACACAGCCAGCAATTGGGATTATTGGTAACACCCAAGCATAACACTATCTTACTGATAACTCAGAAGGGCAGATTTATTTTGGCCTTAATTTTATCTGAAAATAATATAGAAATCAACCCAACATAATTTCTAACAAATAAAAATTTGTCTGGACATATTTTTCTCTCACTTTTACAACATATAAATTACTTTCTGAGAAAGGGTATGTGGGCTTTGTGGTAATTTGCCTACAAATCACAATTGTTTGTTCTTATGATAAGAGGAAAAAGTCCTTACATTGTGTTATAACTCTGTTCTAGATTCTTCTAAGGTTCCCATCATGATAGGCAAATGTTTTGTTTTCTTTTTTTTTAGAAGTCAATGAACTCATGAAGAAATTATTGTTTTGATTCTCAGAGAAGAAATACATTTCTTATAACCAAGCCTCAGAGAATAAATTCTGAGATTTACCTTCTGTTGATTTCCGTGCCCCTCCTGAAAGGCTTATTGTATTATTTGTGCTGTGCTGAGTCTATTATTTTTCTTAGTTTTTGTTCCCACAATAATTATTTCCAGGAAGTGATCACCTTGAGAACCACAAAAGATTGATGCTAGATCATCTAAAAGGTAGATCATCACACAACCGAATGCGAGTGATAAAAGAAGTGTACATTGGGAGTCAAGGGTACATTCTCATCAGTGTTATTAATTTATGATAAGTAAGTTGTAAAAATGAAAAGACACCTTCCTTGATGTATTTGGGTTTCTAGCTTACGTGGAGCACGTGTGAAGAACACGTGAAGCTTATGTGAAGTTAATCTCTGTACCGTGTTCACAGTGTCCTCTTTGGGCTCCTTAACAGAAGTATGTTTTCCCTGTGTTCATACAGATATGAATATGAATCTACAGTTTCAGTTTCAGGCAATCTCTCCTCAAACAGTTTCTTGTGTATGGAAAATGGAACCGCGATTTTCAGACCAACAGAAGATCCATCAGGTCGTCTAATTCATTTCATTTCTTTTTGTTTAGTGAATTTGTAACCGAACACTTTCTGTTGAGGCGCTCTGGATGAGTTCTTGCGTTGGGTTTGAACAAGACCAGTGAATAATTTTCCCTCAGCATTTTGGAGTGGGTCATAAAGGGTGACATAAATCGTTAACAATAGGAGTGCCACCACTTTTATAACTGATTATACTTATTAAATTATAATTTAAAAGAATAGGAAATTGTCTTTCTGCTCCCTTCTGTTCGCTTTACCAGACACTTTCACTGTCACTGTTCTCCCTTTGTTCATCATTTTGCTTGAGCGGACCCAGTAACATCTGTTACTGTGTTTGGCATAACGAATACAGTCACAGGGAGCTTGTCAGGTTTTGCCGTGGGGGCGAGATACTCACCGTAGCTTGCTAGGCTCTCCAAGAGGGGCGGAGGAATCGAACCTGGGTTGACCAGGTCGGCCGCTTGTAAGGCAAACACCCTACCTATCACTCCAACCCAACCAGACACTATAGTTGAACAAAATTGTGCTGCTCTTTTTAGCTTTCTGAAATCTCAGACATGGCACCTGCAGCCTCTAGTCCTTCCTCTGCTGAAGCACTTGGATGATCTTTTGATAGTACTCAGTCCAGAGGGGACCCTGGACTGAGTACTATCGCTTTACCTCAACCCACAACTCCTTTGTCTGTGGTGGGAGACCTTTCTACACTGGATTCTGCTGAAGTTACAGTGAATGATGAGACTAGAGATTTTAAGGTCCGCAGGAAATCAGAGGAGACCAAATTCTTTTAGGGAGTATTGGAAAAGGTGTTTCTGAAATTTAAAGTCATAGGAACTTCCTGGGGAACTGAAGGGGAAAAAATGTTGTGTAGTGACCAAATGCTTTGCAGCTTTTGCCAAAGACCAACTGCGCTCTAATTCCCCTCCCTCCCTCCCTCCCTCCCTCCCTCCCTCCCTCCCTTCCTTCCTTCCTTCCTTCCTTCCTTCCTTCCTTCCTTCCTTCCTTCCTTCCTTCCTTCCCAAATCTGTTCTGTTCTAACTTAAAACAAGTGTCAAAGAAATAGATTCAAATCCTCCAACTTCTGCCCATCTCTTTCCTTTTCAATTTCTTTTGCCTCGGTCACCCAACCCACCCCTTTTTCGAAGTTTCTGATGTGTCAAGGATTGGGGTAGATTTCCTGATTAAAACCTAAAACCTATTTGGTGGTTACAATCTAGAGTAATCTCTATAGAGAATATGTGATCACTGTTTAGTTAAAATTTTTAAGTTCCTTTAAAGTAATTAAAGGCCTTAAAGTAATTAGAATTGTAAATTTCAGCAAGATAGATTCTTAATTAAATTATATCAATAATAAAATTTTGTAATATAATTGGGTAATATAAATTGGGATTCCATGCCAGGCTCTTTTCACTTGGAGTGCCCCAGAGGGGGGCGGGTGAGAGCCCTCCCCGCCCCAGGGGACCCAGCCCCAGCAGCCACCTCCACTACCCAATGCTCCAGGTCATTTTCCAGACTGCGCGGCCATGAACATCATAAGACACTTCCTACCCATTTTCCACAATGACCACACCATGTTTGATGGAGTTCTGAGAGTAGGCAACAAATATTATATATATATATATATATATATATATATATCGCTCCGATAGCACAGCGGGTAGGGCGTTCGCCTTACAAGCGGCCAACATGGCCGACCCGAGTTCGATTCCTCCGCCCCTCTCGGAGAGCCCGCAAGCTACCGAGAGTATTCGATATGCCAGACACAGTAACAACAAAGTCTCCAATGGAGACGTTACTGGGCCCGCTCGAGCAAATCGACGATCAACGGGAGGGCCTTTACCTTACCATATATATATATATATATATATATATATATACAGTAAAGGCCCCCCTCTGGGGCACTCCAGATGATCAACGGGAGGGCCTTTACCTTACCATATATATATATATATATATATATATACAGTAAAGGCCCTCCCGTTGATCGTCGATTTGCTCGAGCGGGCCCAGTAACGTCTCCATTGGAGACTTTGTTGTTACTGTGTCTGACATATCTAATATATGCGTCTCGGAGAGTCTAGCAAGCTACATAGAGTATCCCGCCCGCAAGGGCAGAGACTGGCAACCTCCCTGTGGCGTATTCGATATGCCGAAACCAGTAACTATAACAGGTCTCATTCCCTGACCCTGAAAGAGCCTCCAATCGTTGGGAAAGACAAGTAAGGAGAAGCTGCTAAGATCTCAGGGCTGGGACAATAGAGATGTTACTGGCACCTGCTCGAGTAGATCGACAAACAACGGAATGACAGTGACAGAATATAATAACTGTAATCAGTTCTAGGGAGAGAGTCGTGGGTGTTTTTCTTGCTACAAAGTCAGTATAGAAATATATAAGCATGAAGAGCAGTCGACTGGGTTCTTTCTGAAGGGGAAAAACATTCCTGAATTTTAGTATTTTTCAAGTGGTATAAACAGTGTCTCAAACTACCAATCTGTTGTCCCTAAGCACTGAATTGTAAGAGATGTGTTGACTTATCTGTCCCAATGCAGTAGGAATGGGCTTTAGTTTGCCACACACTTGGGATCTTTAAGTATTCTGTCAGGGTCCAGTAGTTTATCACTAATGGAATCTTTCACTTGGTTCACTTGGTAATGAAAATCAGAAATAATTCACAACAGTTTTAGAACCAAGTGTCACGGATTGGTTATTATTCAGACACTAATGCAATGTCTTTTTGTCTTTGAATGCAGAATGTGTGAAAGATGTGAAATCATTCATGTGGGTGTATGTCCTGGTAGGAAATGTTATACGTGGAATTGGCGAAACTCCGGTCATGCCTTTGGGTCTGTCCTACATAGAAGATTTTGCCAAATCTGAAAACTCTCCTTTATATATTGGTGCGTTGAAATTATATTTCTGTCGCTTTCCTAGGCAGTCAATCTCATGAGGGTGGATATTAGTTAACCGTCAGAATTCAGATATTACTAAAAGGATGAACAAAGCTGGCTACCAGTAGAAGTTTGTTGAATGGAGAAGTTATATTACAAATCAGCTTACTAGCTAACCTGATTTTTTTGCTATTAAAATACTAATAAACTTGTATGCCTGGAGTTTTCTTTGAGTCCCCTACTTTATTTATTTATTTATTTTTTGTTGCCACCTCTTAAGCAATTCAGTAAAATTTTCTCTTTAATGTCTCTTTTATTCAAAACATTTTCCACAATTTTATTTCTGTTTTTGTTCATTTATTTATAATTTAATCCACATGCCACTGTAACATTATTATGATCATTTTATCTCTGGTATTTTATCATTTCTTATAAAATTTCTTATAAATTATTATTTCTTAATTTTTAAAAAATAATGTGTTCTCTATCAGATTCATTAAAACTCCTGGCTCTTATTAAATTTTATCTCTCTCTTTTTTTGCTCAGCTCTCTACACTTGGTTTTTCTACTTAATTAAGTGTATCTTCATCATAATATCTAGTTTTTTCATAAGTTATCTTCATACCATAATTATATTTCTTGAAATTTCCTTTTCTAAAATCTACCTCTACCTCTCACAATATCTAACTTAAAATCTACTTTCTTACATTGTTTTCTAATTTGTAAAAGCTTTTAACTTATTCCTCATAAATTGCATATATTCTTTAGAAATTCCATCTGTAGTACAGAGTCATATTGTTATGAATGAAGAAATATCTTTTAAGAGCCAGAAAAGTCAGAGGGTGTGAAAAGATAGGAAGAAAAGTAGTATACAACCAAGACAGAGTAAATTATTTAGGAATCACCACCATTCCCAGTAACTTAATATTTTTTAGAGGAGTGCTGATTTTACAATAATCTTTTGTCAGTTTTTTATATTTCATCCTTTCAAATCCATTTATATAGTTATGCTGAAAGACCCAAAACACATATTTGGGCTGGAGTGATAGCACAGCGGTAGGGCGTTTGCCTTGCACACAGCCAACATGGCCGACCCGAGTTCGATTCCTCCGCCCCTCTCGGAGAGCCCGGCAAGCTACCGAGAGTATCTCGCCCTCACGGCAGAGCCTGGCAAGCTCCCCGTGACGTATTCGATATGCCAGACACAGTAACAACAAAGTCTCCAATGGAGACGTTACTGGGCCCGCTCGAGCAAATCGATGAACAACGGGAGGGCCTGTTTTTTTTTTAACAGGTCCTTGTTACAACATTATAAAACATAATTCCTTATTTAGTGGGCCTTAGAAAGTATAATGTATTAAGGTGAATACTGTTGTCCATGTTTGGATTAGTATTTAAATATGTAATTATAAATCAAGAATGTTTGTTGAATATGTAATTAAATAACTATATATCAGTTCATTATCCATAAGAGAGAAAGAACCACACTTCACAGTATGATTGTCATTGGCTTTATGCTAACTTTTTGCCAAAAACATGGGGTTCAACCATTATGTGAAGCTTTAAAAACTATGCTGAAATTCCTTTAAACCAGGGTGAAGAGATTCTGCAGTGGTGATGATATTCAATGAAATGCAGCATCTCACATATAGTTCTGGGGCATCTGAGAGATGAGAGATACGGTTTAAAGTTTGAGTATCACACGGGCTCATTAAAAATCTAGGGAAATGAGATTGCCACGAGAAGCCATATGAAGGGTAGCACTTTCACTCACTAAAATAGGAAGAAGAAAAATCATGAGTTAAGATGTCATGGCACAGGGGAGAAAGCAAAACGTGTCGAGTTTTACGGAAGCTGTAGGCAGAACACGTGGAAGGAGGACGGGCAATGTGAAATCACAAAGGATGAAGGATGAAGACAGGACCAAGATAAGCATCAAGGAGGAGGATGGGAAGGCAGAGGGTCTAGAGGCACCGGGTGGTGAGAAAGAGGATGGAGAGACTCGGAAAGAGAGAGCAAGAAAGGAGGGTTTGAGAAGCTGTACACAACCGACTTCTGTCGTGGAGAGGAGATGGAACACGCAGGGTGGAGGGAGTGCTGGGTTCAGAACGCCTCAGGGAAACGTAGGCTGAACTACCTGAATGCAACCACGGGGAAGGCAGCAACAACGGGCAAAGATGTGCGTTGAAGCAAGGATGAAAGAAACTGACCAGGCTCATGTTGGATTTTCCGGGAGAGAGATTAGGGCTCCATTTCCGTTACATGGAATTGCTTTAGAATCCCTCTGAAAGTGAGACAGTGGAAACCATCCAAAGCGTTATCTTTGCCACTAGCTGATCCACATCTGCCTGGGTTGCAACCACAGATCTTTATCTCAACCCAGCATGAAAGAGAATGAATGTTTGCAGAAAGAAACTTATCACTTATAGGTCTACCACATTGACTTTTCTCACAATATTTAAGATATTAATTAATATTTAAGATGCAATATTTAGGGCAAATATAGCCATCACATAAATAAAACTAATTCTGCCCTCAGATATATCAGGGAGTTAGAATTCTTTTGGTGGGTGTGGGGTTGTACAATCACCTGTTATTTTCCTTTATTTTTAGGGTTTATAGAAACAGGAGCTATCATTGGCCCCTTGATTGGACTTCTACTAGCGTCATTCTGTGCAAATGTTTATGTTGACACTGGATCTGTGAGTACAGGTAATTCAGTAAAATAATTATACAGTGTGTAGAGAACATGGGCATCTTTGGTATGTTTACATAGTTAAATGTTGCCTTGTTGATCTGTAGTTCAGTTAGATATCTGTAGTTCAGTTAATCTCCGCTAGATAGGCAAATTTAAGTGAAAGAGTTTAAATAATTGTCAAACAAATTTTAATCCAGTGAGCCAAAGAACAAAATAAAATTCTCCTGACTCAGTGCTCTTTTAACCAAAATGCACCCATATATTTCATTTCAAAAGATTTGAAACACTTAGATTTGAATTTCTTTAGTCAATCATTTGTGGATAATGGAATAAGCCCCCAAATTGTTTAGTAAATACTGTTTTATAATTTTTTTTACATCATAGGGTAGTCAAGCTACTTTATTACTACAATGTTGGTTTTGTGTTTGTTTGTTTTTAGTCTTTTTGCGGTACTGGGATTGAACCCAGGTTCTCATATAGACAAAGCAGTGTTATACCACAGAGCTATCCCCATGACCCCAATTGCTGCAATGTTGTAAAATTAAAAATTTTTACTTGAGTTTTATGAATGTCTGAATTAGATACATATTCTAGAACTAGCTAGTTATAATTTTAATGCTTTTCTCTTGGTCACCTGGAAATTAAATGACATTAGCTAATAAAAATATGTGTTTCTTTACAGATGATCTGACCATAACCCCCACTGATAGTCGTTGGGTTGGTGCATGGTGGTTTGGCTTTTTGATTTGTGCAGGAGTGAATGTGCTTACCGCCATTCCTTTTTTCTTTTTACCCAAAACGCTTCCAAAGGAAGGACTAAAGGAAAATGCTGAGATCACTAGAAATGATGATGAAGAGAAACAAAGAGAGATCAAGAAGGAAAAGGGTGGAATCACTAAAGGCAAATATAACGATTAAAATGCTATAGAACGTATTACTTATTTTATGTACATGTGTCTGTATTTGATGTTGACCCAGCAATGTACGAGGCGGTACTAAGATCATTTGTCATTAATAGTCAGTACTTAATAGTGTCTTTCTGTCTTGACTCTTTATGTACTCATACTTGAAAACAAATCATATAATTTGAAATTTGATTTATATTAGCATTTATATAAAATTTATCAATCTAGGCACTCCAACATTTAGTTAAATAGGCCCCATTTTCCTTAAAACTCTGCTTTACAGAAAATAAATTACTTTTAGTTATTTTAAATTTTTAATTAAAATTATTTTGTTTTTTTGCTTTTTGGATTATACCCAGCGATGCGCAGAGGTGACTCCTGACTTTGTACTCAGGAATTACTCCTGGTGGTGCTCAGGGGACCATATGGGATGCTGGGAATCAAACCTGGGTCAGCCGCATGCAAGACAAATGCCCTACCTACCTGCTGTACTATTGCTCCAGGCCTAATTTTTAAAAAATTTTAAATTAATTAAAAAAAAACTCAAACTAAGAATGAAATGAGGAAAAAGTCAAAATTTGAATGTAATTCCAAAATTGTAAAAATTATCTCTGTGTCTTATAGAGGTGAAGACAGAGAAAAAAACTTAAGTCACCATTGCCTATATTTGATATAGATATATATCAAGAATATGGGAATATTGTTACTGTGTCTGGCATATCGAATACTCTCGGTAGCTTGCCGGGCTCTCCGAGAGGGGCGGAGGAATCGAACTCGGGTCGGCCATGTTGGCCGCTTGTAAGGCAAACACCCTACCGCTGTGCTATCACTCCACTTTTGCAAACTGTTCTCCTAGTAACAAATTGTTTTTAAAAACATCATATAACACAGACTAGAGATAATAGCAAACTGTGAAATTGTTTTCCAGCCAATGCAATATATTGCATGAGACAGGGTTTTTTTTTAAATGCAGAGAAAGATCTTTAATAAAAACTTTGAGGTGTTTCTGTGGAAACCTAATCTAAGGCAATATAAGTTTTTCATTTTTAAGAACACATTCTCAAAGTTGGTCATATTGGAATGACATAAGAAAAATTTTAAAATTATGGTGACTAGATATTCTGACGGTCTGAATCAGTGTGAATTATAGCCTGAGTCATGGTATTCTTAGGTTTTATTTTGAAGATGACATGGACTGATCTTATCTCTATAGTGGAGGTAAAAATAATACTTGGCATAGAACTGTGGTATGGGGTAAAAAAGAATTGTGTATGTATTATTATGACAATAGTCACTTGTATTAGTATGATTTATGTTGCTATTTCTACCATCAGTCACAAATTATAATACCACAGGATTGTTATTACTATTATTAAAATTAGTATTAATTTGATTTTGGGCCCACACCCATAGTGCTCAGGGCATACTTCTGACTCAGCACTTACGGATAACCCCTGATGGGGCTCATGGTACCATATGTGGTGGTGGAGATGGTACCTGGGTTGGTCAGAAACAAAACAAGTGGCTTATTCACTGTAAAATTTCTCTGACTCCTACAGTATTGTTAACAACAATTAAAACTCAACTTAAACTATACTAAAATACCCTTTATACCTTATCAATCACATGGCACCAATTCAGAGCATTACAAATTCACAATTGTCACGATTATATTAACAACTTTTCAAAGGGCTCAAACAGACTGACAGAGGATTTGAACAATAGAATATTGTTTGTGGTCTGTAAGATTGACTTTCAAAACTATGAAAGAGTCTATTTGAGTGTAAAACTTAAAAAAAAGTTAGAGCACCAGAGAATTATGTTAAGAAAAAGATACCAATAAATAAATAATCAAGGTTAACTTTGAAAGCTTCTTAATCCAAACACAATTTTTAACCCTGCCATGTCCTTGATTCCAATTTTTACAGATGGATTTCTTTTCATTGCACTAATTACGTGCTTTATTCTCTTCCAGTCCATTTATGGACACCTGGTTTGGGAATGGATTTTAAACAGCTTATTTTTGTCTTTTAGAATTGGCAATGGGTTGTAAAAATTGCTCAGATGTTCCTTTAGATAGTTTATCAAGCAGACCAGAACAAAATACAGCAACTAAGTAAGTCAGGATAGAGAACATGAATGAAAGACGTGTGAAAAGAATCTTCAACCTGGAGTATACCCAGGGTGGCCAGAACCTTTCTAGAGATGTGTCACACATGTGGTTATGGGCTTCCTTGGTCCATTGAAATGGGAAATTTTAGGTAAATAATTTATATGATCCTCCGTGTATGACAAATAAATTACATCTTAAGTGGTAGGGCATATTTCAAGGACTTTATTTCCAAAGATTCCCAGGAGGCTTTAATATACATTCCGTTGTGAACCATTGGCAGAACCACAAAGACATTTTTTTCTTAAGGAGAAAAAAATGCCTGGTACTTGGTAAATTTTGTATTCTACGAATTGCAACATACATCTTTATTTTAAACATCCTGGAGGGAGAATATCAGCTTCTGAGTGTGAAATTGGTTTGACTCCAAGTCTGAGAGAACAGAGCAAGCATCTTCCTATGAGAACTCTAGAGAAAAGGCTGTTTCTAGAAATGAGAGAGAAGGGGCGCCATGTGCCTGACCTGGGCTTGACTTCTACCAACACACAGTTTCCCAAGCATTGCCAGGTGCAGCCGTGGGGATGCCAGCACCACCAGAGGGATTATCTCTGGCACCATTGGGCCCAAGAAGCATTGTGTCCTCGGGTCCTTGCATTGAACCACCAGTTGGCTGGCAGAGTCACTAGTGAGCCTACTGAATACCACTTGGGAGGAGCCTCAAGGAAAACATAACATAAAAGAGAAGGAAATGGTGTGAACACAAATAGTATTTTCTTTTTTTTTGTTACATGAAAGCCCCTCTCCCTTAAACATTGCAGTAACTTAGTCAAGTAAAACTCTTGGGGTCTGTCATCTGCCGCTGATGTTGCCCAAAAAAAAATAGAACTTTAGTTTTCAAGAAGGAATAGAGTGGAGAAAATAACTTGGAGAGGAGGTTGATAGAACAGAAAAAAAGTTGATTATAGCATTAGAAAGCGAAATGAGCTTGACATTACTCTTATTCTTTTATTTCAGATTTTTTACCATTCATGAAAAGTCTTTTATGCAACCCAGTTTACATGCTTTTTATACTAATAAGTGTGCTACAGTTCAATGCATTTGTTAATATGATTTCCTTCATGCCTAAATATCTGGAACAGCAATATGGAAAATCTTCTTCAGATGCAATCTTCCTCATTGGTATGTTTGTTCCTCACTGTTTTCCCTCTGAGTCCGTTCCACCATGAGATGGTGACCTGTGTGATGATAAGTCTGGAGAGCTCCCAACTGAAATCTGTATCTGTCAGGATAGTTCCCACTCCGGTACACGTCCCTTGTCCCTTTCTCATTTTGCTAGAAATTGGAGAAAGGATGGGGAAGGAAAGAATCCATCAAGTATTGGTTCTCTTCTTTCTCTCAGAGCGCATTTCCATGAGAATGATTCAGGGAAAGTTTGGGGGATGCATACATTAGATAATTTTTTAAAAGAATACCCCAAGAATATGGAAAGGAAATTGGAATTAATTCATTAGACGTCTTACTGCCCTTTCGGATTTTACTCCATGAGTTCCTCGTTTCAATTCTGTTAGCTTCCTGGTCCCTCTGGTGGTTTGCAGTGTCTCTGCAGCCCACACTTCCTGATCTTCCGGTGACCACCCCCTTTTCAGTGGTCCAGCCCCACTTGCAATTTTTTTTTACTGCCTTGAAAAGTAAAGATTTCCCAGGTAGTTATCATTGACTCAGCTAGAATGTCTTAGATACACTAAATCAAATTCTGTTCTACCGGATGCTCGACTACATTTGGGGGTGGAGGGTAGGGAGGAGATGTATACTGCAGGATTTGGGATCTATTTCTGGCTTTTTTCTCGAGTAACCCCCTAGTGGTGCCCATGGGACCAAATGCAGCGCTGGGGATCAAATTGAGGTTGACCACAACAAGACAAGCACCTTAGCATCTGTCCTATCCATCTCTAGAGTATATTTTAAACAAACTCTCAAAAATCTGACTCAGTGAGAAGACCCTAACACAGTAGGAATACAAGCCAGGGAAATGTCGTTTCTTTCTTTCTTTCTTTCTTTCTTTCTTTCTTTCTTTCTTTCTTTCTTTCTTTGCAGTGGAGAAAGGGGTGAGGGGATGATGAGAGCTAACAAGACATTTAAAGTCATCACTAAAGTAATTAAAGCCAAGTCAAATTCTTGACAACTAGAGTGAGAATAAACAATGGCAAAAATCATGTAAAACATCTCTCTCACACTGCCACATACGCACATATATTCACGCATACGAATATAATTCGACCCTCCTAAAAAGAAATCACTAAGTTGTTGGTTAAATAGACTTAAACACTTCCACCTTTAAACTTAGGAATAATAATGTAATGCCTCCCTACAAGAAATTTATAACCTTCTGAAGTGAAACACGTACTAGTGTTGTGAGGCATTTGAAATATTTCTATATGCAAGAGGTAATAAAATGAAATCAATATTCTACATTTCTTGGAACAGAATTGTTTCTTATATGAGGCATATTAGAGTGATACCATGTTTTCCTTTGATAAGTTACTTTATAAATACTATTTTACTTATATTTACTATATTTCATTCATAGGTATTTATAATTTACCCCCAATATGCATTGGATACATTGTTGGTGGTTTAATTATGAAGAAATTCAAGATCACTGTCAAGCAGGCTGCCCACATAGGGTGCTGGTTATCTTTAATTGAGTATCTCCTCTATTTCTTAAGTTTTCTCATGATTTGTGATAACTCTTCAGTTGCTGGTGTAACTACCTCTTATAATGGGTATGTTATTATTATTATTATTGTTATTTTAATTTTTATTAGTGAAACACCATGCATGAGGAACAGTTGTAGACTTACAAATTTTTGTGCTTGGGTTTCAGTTATACAATGATCAAATACCCACCAATGGGTATGTTATTTTTTTAAATTGAATATTATACTCTTTCAACAATTAGTAAGGTATATTCTCCAGTGAGTTTCCAGGATTAGGTTCTTTGCTAATTGGAATTAATCACTAATTAAGCAGTCGTCTTTTGCATCTTTTGTCCATAATAACTTAATGCACCAAAGATGAAGATTGAATAAAAATGTAGAGAACATATCATAGAGCTAATGTGATTTTTGACTGTGCTTGACTTTGTTACATCCCAGTAGATTTTAGCTTCCATGAAAAAAATTACCTATAGTTTTAGTTGTATTAAAATATATTATCTATAAACTTTCACCAATGGGTAAAATTGAAGTGGCCATACAATCTGAGTTGTCTTTGAATGTTCCCACAATACATCTAAATTCAGCAGAACAATTTGAATAAGTTGTATATCAAATTATAAGTAAATTTGTATACTCTATGTCATTTTATTGATATAATAGAACACTTTAAAATTCATATTTTGAGGATAAGATGTTTATAGTAAAGTTTTCATCATGATATAAATTAGAAAAATTGATTTACAGAATGTTTTTCAGGTAATAAGTTGAAATGAATTGAAAGGAGGTCAGGAAAGTGACTCCAAGGGCTGGAGCATATGCTCTGTTGTGTATCCTGGACCCACATGGTCTCCTCAGTATGGATAAGGGTCAATCCCCAAGCATACAGTGGGGAAAATCCTCCAGCCTCAATGGCCCAAAGAAACAAAACAAAAAAAAATAAAGAATATCCTAAAACGTTCCCTTTATTATTATTTCTTTACTCTTTCAAGATTTATTGTGAAAGTATGGAACAAGGCTGGTAGATGAGCTTACGTGGTGGCTTTGGTGGGACATGGGTGTGTCTGTTGGGGCTCCTGGAAGCACAGAGAGTTGGGAGGGAGGTTGTGCATCCTCGTTCCCAGAAGACCTGGAGCTTTCAGCCAAAGAACCCCCATGTACCTGAAATTTTAGATAGATTAGGTTCTCTGTGGAGCTTAGATGTGAGGCAGTGGATTCTGTCCAGAGGCATGGCATTGGCTTTGGGGTGTGAGTGTGGCTGCCAGGGCTTTGGCAAGGCAGGAGTTGTCCACCCCATCCCCCAAGATTGACCCAAAGGTTGCAGTTGGGAAAGGGTTTCCAAGAAATTTTTGTGGCATCCAGTCTTCCAACGCTGATAATATTTTATTGCATCATTTCAGGATACCACAGAAGTTATATGTGGGAGATTCTATTCTCTCTGACTGTAACATGGCTTGCAACTGCCCAACTAAAACATGGGACCCGGTGTGTGGAGAAAATGGTTTGTCCTACATGTCAGCTTGTCTTGCTGGCTGTGAGACATCAGTTGGAACAGGAATAAACATGGTAACACATCCTATTGGCCTTTTTTCCCCAGAACTTCTGTTTTATGGATCTTGTTGACAATTTCTATTACAAACTGTGCCACATTCATAAATGTAATGAAAGTCTTTCCTCAGAGTTAATTACTTTGTGAGGATGAAAAGTCATTTCCATATGCTCTACTTGGTTCATCTTGTATTTCCTAGATCTAATTTAGAAACATTAGTGTCTCAGTATATCTTCAAGTTTATAGTCATTGAGATTATTACCCAGAGAGTTTGTTTAATAAATACTCCTGGAATGTAGCTCAGTGATCAAGCACTTACTTGCCTTGTCTGTGAGAGGGCCTGGGTTTGATCACTGACCCTGCAGTCTATATCTATATGTGAATTTTAAAATAATAAAAATATTCTGGACTGGGGGCTGTTTAGGTAGTTCAAGGGAGTGAAGTGCTCGTGCCTTGCATATATGACACCCAATTGCCAGGCCTTTATGCTCCCTCTACCTCTCAGCAGTGCTTGGGGTACAAAAGGCTTGTGGTCTCCAACATCACCAGGCTGAGCAGCAATGGGGCTTTTCTTCCTTTTTTCTATGCATATGCTTGCAAGAATTCAGTGGTTTTCACTGACTCATGGCTTCTTATAACCATGAGACTAGGCATGTTTTCTTGCCTTAAACATGTCATAATACTTTACCGTTGGTTGATGATCAGTACAAAACTTTTCATTGTTAAAGTCTCAACATACATGACAATCTAAAATTGACTCCCACTTTAAAAATAAACTATACTTCTTGAAACGAAGTTGTGGCGATCTGTAAGCATCTAAATAATTCAACTGGACCTTTAGAAAAAAATGTATTTGGCACATGCAAATTTTGTTTGGCATATGCAAGTTTTGTTTGGGTTATGGCCCCTCCTGGCGGTGCTCAGGGCTTCCTCCTGGCTCTGCACTCAGACTCCGGGATCACTCCTGGAGGAGCTCGGGGGACCATATGTACACCAGATGGGGGACTGAATCCAAGTCGGCTGTGTGTGAAGAGTTACCAATTTCACTCTCTCCCTTCATTTTTCAAGGCTATGAGAATAACGTTATAGTTTCTCTTTCTTTCCCTCCCATTTTCAAGCACCCTGCAGTCAATGCCGCCCTCATCCCATCCTCCTGACCACTTGGCGCAGGGTGCGGTATCCATTTCAATCCAATCTGCCATGCAAAAAATATTAAAAATCCCCATTCAAAATTTTTCTTCCTTACAAGATCTTTTCTTTTTTGAACAGGTGTTCCAAAACTGTAGCTGCATTCGAACATCAGGAAATTCATCTGCAGTTCTTGGGCTTTGTGACAAAGGCCAGGGCTGTGCTATGATGCTCCAGTACTTTTTAATCTTGTCAGCCGTCAGCAGTTTCATCTATTCTTTATCCGCCATACCTGGTTACATGGTTCTCCTAAGGTACAGAAGTTATTTTCTTTCTCTTTCTTTAGAGGAAAAAGTCTTTTCTGTCTGATAATTTATCAAGAGAATTCTTCTCTAAGAAATCCACGGAATCCCTGATACCTTAAAGTTCAGCGCTTTTATCTATCATTTGTTAAGATTTTTTCAATTATGCATTGCTGAATTCTACAAATACAAAAATTCACTTTTTTATAGGGTTCCATGCCCATTAGTGCTTAGGGCCATTAAGGTCCTGCCTGGTGGTTATCGGAGGGCCATATTTACCACGGTTCAAACTTGGGGCCTCACACATGGTAGGTGTGTACTCTGCCACCTAAACTAGCCCCTCAGCGCAACCTTGACAAATGTTAAATTCAGCACAATAAATGTTCATCTCCTGGACTGGAGTGATAGTACAGCAGGTAGTGTGTTTCTCTTGAATGCAGTCAGTCCAGTTCAATCCCCAGCATTTCATATGGTCCCCTCAGCATTAACAGGAGTAACTCCTGAGTACAGAGCCAGGTGTAACCCCTGAGCATTGCCAGGTGTGACCAAAAAAGCCAAATAGGCAAATAAATAAATAAATGAATAAATGTTCACCTGCTGGCATTTCCCTTCATATAGTTCCATATATCTTGGGCCTCATTTAGTGAACCTCTCATTATTTAATACAAAGAGGAGCAGTTCTTCTTATAAGATGGTCACCTTGGTGATGAAGATAGTTGCCTAGCAATTATCATCTATAGTTCAACTTATGGAACAGCAGAATTGAAAGTTGTTAAAAACTCTAGTTTCACCCATTTCTATCCATAGGTTCTAAGAAAGACATTTGGTTTCTCTAAGGTCCATTTTCTTCCATGAAAAATGGGTGCAATAACAAGTACTCAACTCTATCCCAAAGTGCAAAGCTAGGATTCCAAAGCAGGCTATGGAATATCAATGTGTTCTTTCATTTAGAGCATGTTTTATGACTAGTGGAAAATCTTAATCCAGTGCTCATTTCCTAATTTATTGTCTCTCATTCGAATTCAGAGGCAGCCTCCGCTCATCATAATTTGCATTTCATAACATAGTACTCTCATGGGCTGGGATAATATTTCATTTTTATTTTAGTGTGCTTTCTACATTTCATTTTCCACTTTCTGTCACCACAGTCATCTACACGGTGATAAATCTATGCCCTTAAAAGTATTTTTTTTCTTTAAAGATAACAAGATTTAGGGAGGATCTATATACAATCTTTTTGGGAGGAAAGCTTTCTAATGGAAATAAACAAAGAGGGATGGGTAGAATACCAAGAATAAAGAGTGGTGTTGTTGGGAAAATTGTGAACCAGATAAGTAGATTTTTAAAAAAAATTTATTAGTGAAACACCATGAGGTACAGTTGTAGACTTACAAATTTTTATGCTTGGGTTTCAGTTATACAATGATTGAGTACCCATCCCTCCACCAGTGCCCATTCTCCACCATCACTAATCCAAGTATCCCTCCCACCCCCATCCCACCATCCCACCCTGCCTCTGTGGCAGGGTACTCCCTTTTGTTCTCTCTCTCCTTTTGGGTGCTGTGGTTTGCAAAAGAGAAATGATAAGTAGGCTTTGAATAGCCAAGAACTGAGCACTCAGAACACTGTCTAATGCCCAGTATGTGCACATAAAGAGTCCTCCAATCTTTTTAAATAGTAATATTTCAATCTCTACTTTCATGTAACTTGTCAATTGTTTATATTTTAGATGCATCAAGTCTGAAGAGAAGTCACTTGGTGTGGGATTACATGCATTTTCCACAAGAGTATTTGGTAAAAACTTATTTTTTCCCAAGAGTCTAGCAAACCATGATAGAGTGATAAGTTAATGAAATCTTTCTCCCAAGAAAACAGTCTACCAAATATTTAATTTGCATTAAAATGGTGCTTTGTAATCAATAGGAATATGAAATACAAGAAGACATGGAGAATATCCCGTAACTTAAAAGGGGCCTATCTGATTTTAACTCTACTTACTAGAATCTGTTTTATTAGAAAACTTACAAACACACAAATAAGTGAACAGGAAATATACTGGTAAAATTAAATGTAATTTCTTCCACACCTCAAACAAAGAAAACCAGAAACACGAATGCAGTGTATCTCCCTATCAATTACTCTCGAAGTAATGTATTCATTTGATGTCTTAACCTTTATTACCTAAAAACTTCACTATAAAAGTAATTTTCAAAATTTTATGTAAAGCTCCAGACTTATATATCTTGTTAAAAGTTGCTTTGCTAATATAAAAAAGTAAAACATTAGGAACAAAGCAATATATTCTAATTCTTCCTTTTTTGATTAATTTTTTTTCTTCCTTTAACTGCAGCTGGGATTCCTGCACCTATATATTTTGGTGCATTAGTGGACTCCACATGTTTACACTGGGGAACTTTGAAATGTGGTGAGTTAGGTGCATGCAGGATATATGATTCCATCAACTTCAGGTAAAGATGATACGTGTATGAGTGTGTGTTTGTGCGTGTTTTCATTTTTTAAAAAAATAATTTCTAAGCAGACTGTATAAAATGGAATCATTCACCACCATTTTCTCTGTCGTTTCTTCTTAAAAATTGTATTTGGCTTTATTTTTAGGATACTAAAATTATATGCCCATACCTTATTTGTAGCTAGAATGTTACATCCCTAATGTTTTCAAAGTAGTTGATAAATGCAAGCATAAGTGACTTATTTAACCTAGCCTTTCAGATTCTTATAAACTGTAAATTTATAAGATATTATTGAAGATACTGGAGCGATAGCACAGCAGTAGGGCATTTTCCTTGTGCGCAACCTGCCCAGTAGAGCCGGGTTTAGTTCCTCTGCCCCTCTCGGAGAGCCCGGCAAGCTACCGAGAGTATCTCACCCGCATATATTCAATATGCCAAACACAGTAACAACAAGTCTCAAAATGGAGACGTTACTGGGCCCACTCAAGCAAATTGATGAACAATGGGAGGACAGTGTTTGATGGTGAATGACTATATAGAAGCAAAGTTTCTTAATTACTTTATTTTCCCTGATTTAGACTAAACCTTACTAGCTTAACTACCTTATTAACATATGTTAGTCTTCCATATTAGTCTGACTTCCTTATACTTCCACTTCTGATCCCAAGAATTATCCACCATTAAAATTTGCTGACACATTAGACTTCCTGAGTCTTGCCCTCCCTGAAACACACAAACACACATACACACACATACACACACACACACACACACATTGAACTAACTCCTATGATAATGTTAACATATTGGTGAACATAACTCTCTCATTATTTTTTTGTTTTCTGGTTCCGTTTCATTGGAGGCCTGTAGTTTGCTGTAACTGGTGTTAATTTCTACTTGTAGGACAGGAAGAAAACTCACTTCTTAAAAAAAAAATTAACATTGCTTAAAATATTCTAAGATTTTATCTTCACAGTAAGAGATTAGGTTGAGAATCATAATCATAGAGGAGACCTGATTTATGTTTTAGTCAGGATACCCCTTGACCTAAAATGCCACAGGGATTCTGTGGAGGTGGGCACAGGGAAAAACCATACATAAAACAGATTTGCGTCACAGTTGAACAACCCCAAGAACTGCTAGAATAATCTGCCTAATTCTACTGTTTAAATTTTTGTTGTTAGTACTGTTAAGTTATTTAGTATTATTATTTTGGTCATTGGTTCACACTTGGCAGTGCTTACTCCTGGTTTTGTGCTCAGGGATCACTCCTGGAATCCCTCTGGGGATTACATGCAGTATCAGGGTTGAACCTGGGTCCACCGTGACAAAACAAGTGCCTTCCTTAGCTATCGCACTCTCTCTGGGGTTAATTTAATCGTATTTGAGATAAAATAATCATATTTGAAGCCGTTCTTTGTCAATTAACACAAGAGTGGCCAATGAAGTATATTTAAGGGAAAATTCACCAGAAGCTAATGTAGTTTAGACAGAAGAGGGAGACGTTAGAGATAATTTTCCAGAGCTCTTCTGCATTTCTGCATCCCACGATGGAGGAACTTTTGCTCTGCACTGTCTTTTCAAAGATGTTTGAATAATAAATGACCTTGGAAGATGGAGATCATGTTAGTCTCTAGGGAGGAGACTGATGAAGAAGATAAAGACAGTGTACACTGCAGGGGAACATTGGTATATGCATTCTTGAAGTCTGTCTAAAAGATGGAGATTTTCTAAATGCAGCGTTCTTTTTTATTTATTTATTTATTTATTTATTTTTGGGCCACACCCGGTGATGTACAGGGGTTACTCCTGGCTCTGCACTCAGGAATTACTCCTGGAGTGGTGCTCGGGAGACCATATGGGATGCTGGGAATCAAACCCGAGTGGGCTGCAAGGCAAACGCCCTACCCGCTGTGCTATTGTTCCAGCCCCATGCAGTGTCCTTTTAACTTTTGATCCATGGTCCCCAGGCACAGCACCTACCCAGGTCTCTTTGGGTGTGTCACCCCTTGGGACTTGGAAGTTAAGGAAAACCGATATGAACAGGAAGTTATGCTGACTTTTCTATGAGTTAAAAAAGTATTTTGTGGGGCTGGACAGGTAGAGCAGTGCATAGAGTGCCGGCCTTGAATGTACACATCCTGGGTTTGAGTCCCTGTACCTGATAGGTTCTCCAAGCCCAGCCAGGAATGATCCCTGAGCACAGAGCCAGGAGTGATCACTGAGCTTTGCTGGGTATGCCCCCATAAAAACCAAACCAAGCCAAAGTCCTTTATCTCTGACCAAGAACCAAAAATGTTCTGCCAGCACCTATGCAGACCAAACTGTTAGCTTAAAACCCAGGAACAACTTAGGATTATTTTAAAGTTCTTTGTGAGAAATAAAGTTAGAAATAAAGTTCTTTGTTAGAACTAGAGAACATTAGTATTTTTGTAGTTAGTTAAAACTATCAATCAGGAAAATTTTTTTTAAAAAGTCCTTATTTTTCAAAGGCACCAGGCCCAGGTGTTATTAAGGTAAGGTTTACAAATCTTCCATAAATGAATGATTCCTACATTATACAAGCTATTTCAAGAAGGGGTAAAGGAAAGAAAATTTTCCGATTCATTTCACAAAAGTAGGACAATCTTGATATTCACGTTGGACAAGTTTAGGATAAAGAATAAAGGTATGCTATGATTTTATTCAAAAACATACAAGCAAAAATCCTAAATATTTACAAATTGAATGTAAAATATACAAAAACTCACTACTAGGGTTTATTTTGGGCAGTCTCGGGTGATTAAACCTGAGAACAATTGATTAGCATAATACATCCTATTAGCATAAGAGGGGGAAATCTTGGATGTTCTGTTACTTGAGTATAGAAAAATGATTCAGTATTTTAAATATTCATAACTCAAATACTTTGTAAAGTACAAGGAGAAGAACTTTCAGAGCCTGATTAAGGTCATCTTAAAAATAAATACACAAGAGTAAATATTAAACTTCATGGTGATTCCTTGGAAGCATTCTTATTAAATACTTAACAACACTACAATATTTGTCAATATTCAATGTAAGTTGGAGGTTCTGGTTAATGTGCAAAGATAAAATTGGACCCAAGTGATAGTACTGATGTTAGGGGGTTAGCCTTGCAGGGGGCACAATTGGACTTGATCCCCAGCACCCCAGATGGTCCTCAGAACCTGCCAGAAGTGATCCTAGAGCACAAAACCTGATGTAAGTCCTGACCACCACCAGGTGTGGCACCCCACCCTGGAACTCCCTCTCTTCTCCCAAAGTTCAATAAAACACTAACAGAAAATTGGAGAATAAAATCTGCATTTTCTTAGTGAAAAGTCTCCACCAGCCTCAAACATTTCAGTAACCAGTAGAATTAGTAAGAAGGAACAGCAGATTCGCTACTAGAAGAGTGACAAGCAAAATAATGGGCCACTCTTGATTGTGTGGGAATAAAATGGAAGAGATGCAAACTCGTTCATGGTCAGCATCACTGTGGTCTAACTTTTGATTCTCCTAGATACATCTACCTCGGGCTGCCCGCAGCTCTAAGGGGATCGAGCTATGTTCCAGCCTTTCTGGTCCTTTTCATTTTGAGAAAGCGTCGTCTACCTGGTGAAGAGGCCTCTTCGGGAACGGTGCTGGAAGAAGCGACGGTTTCAGGGAAGGAAAATGATAAGCACCCACATTCCAATGACTGGAATGATGAAGAACTGAAAACGAAACTGTAATGCCTTGGCAGGTCGAAAACAGAAGACAACACAAGACAGCTAATTTGTTCTTAAAATAAATAGAGGTACTACAGGTAATGTGTTCTTATCTTTAAGAACCTCAACTTTTGTTTTTTTACTTGATTAAAAGAGAAATGTTCACTACTGATGGTATTTTTGAGACATCAATGGGACTTGAGAATTTTCACCAAGAGCAAAAACATCTCAAAATAGAATATTTAGAGTCAGCTTTACTTTTATGTGAAAGTAAGCTATTTCTTTTTTAACTCCTGCATAATAAAGGTATATTAAAAACAGTTCTGTTTCCAGGTTATTCTAAATATCTCCTGTTATTAAAAAAACTATTAAATTCCACTGAAATTCTACTTTGATTTAGAGATGGAATTTTCTTTCTGCTTGTGTGAATATTTAAATATTAAAATCTAAATATCTTATTCAAGTGTACTACATCCAATGGAAAGGAAATTTTATTCTACTAAGGAATTATTCTTTTTTTTTCTTTGTTAACTGCCTGGGTCTTTTTTATTTTCGCAGAACAGATTCACAATTCTTGAAATTAATTTAGTTATTTGGTTTCTTTCCTTGGATAAATACTTCTCAGTTTTGGCATGCCTTTATTTTCCAGATTTCATCAATATTTGTTCTCAATAATTTTGTCAGTTTTTAACTTTTTTCCCCCTTCTTTTTTTTCTTTTTCTTTTTCTATTTTTTATTAGTGAAACACCATGAGGTACAGTTGTAGACTTACAAATTTTTGTGCTTGGGCTTCCGTTATAGGATGATTGAGTACCCATCCCTCCACCAGTGCCCATTCCCCACCTCCAATGCTCCCAGCATCCCTCCCACTCCCCCTCACCCCCATCTCACTCCACCCCTGTGGCAGGGCATTCCCTTTTGTTCTCTCTCTCCTTTTGGGTGCTGTGGTTTGCGAAAGAGGCATTGAGTGGCAATCTTGTTCAGTCTATAGTCTACTTTCAGCATGCATCTCTCATCCTGGGAGGATACTCACAACACTCTTTACTTGGTGCTCCCCTCTCTATCTGAGCTTCCTTCTCCTCCAGCACGTGTGGCTGGCCTCCAAGCCATAGAGGGAACCTCCTCGTACTTATCTTGGCTATTCTTGGGTGTTAGTCTCCCATTTTGTTACTTTATATTCCCCAGATGAATGCAATCTTTCTATGTCTGTCCCTCTCTTTCTGACTCATTTTGCTTAGCATGATACTTTCCATGTAGTACCACTCGTATGTAAATTTCATGACTTCATCTTTTCTAGCAGCTACATAGTACTCCATTATGTAGATGTTCTAAAGTTTCTTTAACCAGTCATCAGTTCTCGAGCACTCGTTTTTTCATTTTTTAAATTTATTTATTAAATCACTGTGATAAAAGTTACAAAGCTTTCAGGTTTAAGTCTTGGTCATACAAAAATCAAACACCCCTATCCTCACCAGAACTTATTTTTCACCACCCAAACCCCAGATATACCCCCCTTCCCGATGTGTGTGAGGCAGATGATTTCTAGTTAACTCTCTCTCTACTTCAAATACATGCATTATTTTGACAAAAGATGCATCATTATTGTTTGGAATTCCTCCCCTACAATCAGAACTGCTGAAAAGGCATTGTGAAATAATTTGTTTTCTGTTGCTGGTTATGAAAACCATATGATGTCGCATAGCCGTGATAGAACCCACGATATTTTGGATTTCTGATATTTTATTAATTAAATCTTGGGGGATTTCTGCCAAGAGCAGATAATTATGAGATTGGTTTTTGTGCGTCTGGTGACATGGCCATGCCAGAAAGCTGCTCGTGGGGAGCAACTCATGGTTCATGAAGGACATGAAGGCCCAGCCGGTTCTGCCCCCCTTCCCATGAGGCTGCAGTTGCCCCATCACTGCTGGCTCATACCTGGCTTTCCAATAAGCTCTGAGGTGGGGCCACTGTGCTGCCAGGAGGGGTGAAAGGTGGAAGAGACAGACACCCTTTCCCTCCTGGGAAGGGTGCGTGGGCGGGCACACAGTTTTTTTTTTTTTTTTAGATTTTGGCTATTGTGAATATGCAGAAATGAACATAGAAGTGCAGATGTCATTTCGACTGTACTTTTTTGCCTCTCCTAGATATATTCCCAGGAGTGGTATTGCTGGGTCAAATGGGAGCTCAATTTCTAATTCTTTGAGGATCATCCATACTGTTTTCCAAAAGGACTGAACCAGTCGGCATTCCCACCAGCAGTGAAGGAGAGTCCCTTTCTCGCCACATCCACATCAACACCGGTTGCTTTTGTTCTTTTGGATGTGGGCCAGTCTCTGTGGTGTGAGATGATATCTCATTGTTGTTTTGATCTGCATCTCCCTGATGATTAGTGATGTTGAGCATTTTCTCATGGGCCTTTTAGCCATTCGAATTTCTTCTTTGAGAAAGTTTCGGTTCATTTCATCAACCCATTTTTTGATGGGGTTGGATGTTTTCTTCTTGTAGAGTTCAACCAGTGCTTTGTATATCCTTTATATCAACCCTTTATCAGATGGGTATTGGATAAATATCCTTTCCCATTCTGTAGATTGTCTTTGTATTCTGGTCACTGTATCTTTTGAGGTGCAGAAGCTTCTTAATTTAAGATAGTCACATTTGTTTATCTCTGTTTCTACTTGGTTGGTCAGTGGAGTGTCGTCTTTGAAGATACCATTAGCCTCAATATTCTGGAGGGTTTTGCCGACCTTGTCTTCAATGTATCTTATGGATTTTGGCCTGATGTTGAGATCTTTAATCCATTTTGATCTGACTTTTGTGCATGGTGTTAGGTCGAGGTCTAAGCCCATTTTTGGGGATGTGGTTGTCCAGTTATGCGAGCACCATTTGTTGAAGAGGCTTTCCTTGTTTCACTTCACATTTCTTGCTCCCTTATCACAGATTAGATGTTCATACATTTGGGGTTGTTTGTACAGATATTCCACCCTGTTCCATTGTTCTGCGGCCCTGACTTTGTTCCAGTACCATGGTGTTTTAATTATTACCTCTTTCTAGTAGAGTTTGAGGTTGGGGAGGGTAATACTTCCCCACGTCTTTTTCCCCAAGAATTGCTTTAGCTATTCATGGCCGTTTGTTGTTCCACATGAATTTCAGGAGTGCTTGAACTATTTCTTTGAAGAATTTCATGGGTATCCTTATAGGGATTGCATTCAATCTGTATAATGCTTCCGGGAGTATTGCCATTTTTTACGATGTTGATTCTTCCTATCCATGAGCAGGGAATATGTTTCCATTTCCTCGTGTCCTCTTTTATTTCATGGAGTAGTGTATTCTAGTTTTCGTTGTAGAGGTCCTTTACCTCTTTAGATAGGCTGATTTCGAGGTATTTGGTTTTCTGGGGCACAATTGTGAACGGGATTATTTTTTTCGTGTCACTTTCCTCTCTCTCCTTATTTGAGTATAGGAAGGCCATGGATTTTGGGGCATTGATTTTATAGTCTGCAACTTTACTGTACAAGAATATTGTTTCTACTTTGGTACATTTACACAATGGAGTACTATGTAGCTGTTAGAAAAGACAAAGTCACGAAATTTACATACAAGTGGTACTACATGGAAAGTATTATGTTAAGCAAAATGACTCAGAAAGAAAGGGATAGACAAAGAAAGATTGCATTCATCTGGGGAACATAAAGTAACAAAATAGGAAACTAACACCCAAGAATGGCCGAGATTAGTACCAGGAATTTTACTCTATGACTTGGAGGCCAACCACACATACTAGGGGAAAAGGGAGCTCAGATAAAGAGGGGAATACCAAATAAAGGTGTTGGGAGGATCCTCCCAGGATGGGAGAAGCATGCTGAAAATAGACTATAGACCAAACATGATTGCCACTCAATGTTTCTTTTGCAAACCACAACACCCAAAAGGAGAGAGAGAACAGAGGAGAATGCCCTGCCACAGAGACAGGGTGGAATGGGGGGGATGGGGGGTGGGAGGGATACTGGGATCCGTGGTGGTGGGAAATGGGCACTGGCGGAGGGATGGGTGTTTGATCATTGTATAATTGAAACCCAAGCACAAAAATGTGTAAGTCTGCAACTGTACCTCATGATGTCTCACTATTAAAAAATTTTATAATAAAAAAGAATATTGTTTCTACGAGTTTTTTGATAGAGGATTTAGGATTCTCAAGATATAGTATCATATCATCTGCAAATAGTGAGAGCTTGATTTCTTCCTTTCCTGTCTGGATGCCTTTAATGTCTTTTTCTTGCCTAATCGCTATTGCAAGTACTTCCAGTACTATGTTAAACAGAAGTAGTGATAGTGGGCATCCTTGTCTTGTCCCTCAACTTAGAGGAAAGGCCCTTAGTTTTTCCCCATTGAGGATAATGCTTGCCAAGGGTTTGTCATAGATGGCTTTGCTTTTCTTGAGGAAAGTTCCTTCAAAACCCGTTTTAGTGAGAGTTTTCATCATAAATGGGTGCTGGATCTTTTCAAAAGCTTTCTCTGCATTTATTGATATGATCATATGGTTTTTATCTTTACTTTTGTTGATATGATGGATTATGTTGATTGATTTCTGAATGTTAAACCATCCTTGCATCCCCGGGATGAATCCCACTTGGTTGTGGTGTATGATCTTTTTTTTTTTATTTTTTATTTTATTTATTTATTTATTTATTAAAATTTATTTATTTATTTATTGAATCACCATGGGAAAGGTTACAAAGCTTTCAGGTTTAGGTCTCAGTCATGCAAATATCAAGCACATTTCCCTTTACCAAAACTTATTTTTTACCATGAAGAACCCCAATAAAACCCCACCCCCCACCCCTCCCAGTCCCTGTGGGGCAGATGAATTCTAGTTAACACTCTATCTGCTTTGATTAGATTCATTGTTTCAATAAAAGATTCACCACTATTATTTAGAGTTTACCCCCCCCCCCCACCCCCCAAATCAGACATGCTGACAAAGCATTGTGAAGTGATTTGCTTTCTACAGCTGGGATCAAGAATTATATGTTGGTTTTGGATTTCTGCTATTTTACTTATTGACCCTGGAAGTATTTCTACTGAAAGTCAGATAGTTAAGAAATTGGTTTCTGTGCTCTGGAGTCGTGGCCGTGCTGGAGAGCCACTAGTGGGGGGCAACTGGTGGCCTCGGTAGGGCGTGAAGGGCGGACCGAAACGCCCCCCTTCCCATGAGGTTTTAGTCGCCCCCAGTCCCCCGACTCATACCTGCTGTCCACAAGGCTCCCATGCGGCCGCCATCTTTCTTTCCAGAGAGGAGAAGGCGACTGGGACAACACCCTTT